ATTACTTTTAATTAGACACTTTCAAATATTTCGTTTTAATTGGGTTTTAATTAGGTGTAATATGTATTTATGTTAGCTTTTTATTATGTGTCAGCCGCCCTGAGTCCGAAAGGAGAAGGGCGGGATATAAATGGAATTAATAATAATAATAATAATAATAATAATAATAATAATAATAATAATAATAATAATAATAATACAAGGTTATTTAAATCTCTGCCAAATAAATCCCCAAAGTGTTTATAGAGAAGAAGGAAGCCAAACGGGGAGTCTCAGAATGCTATATTGATTGGGCAGGAAAGCAAGCTTATGTCAAAGTATCAAGTTGATCAAGGCTGAATTTGTAAGGAATGATGGGCAACCAAGTGCCTCTCCTAGTCTATTTGAACAAGATACCTAACGTGGAATTAATGTTTATGGGATTCCATGTTAGCTTGAAGATAACACATCTTTCCTCCTTTTTCAGCTCTGAGTTGGAAAATTAAATATGTATCTAACGAGGTAACAGAATATTGACACTGAGATTGGCACTGAGTGACACATTGCAAAGAACAGTCTGTTGCTAAATGTATCAATTTCTTCATCTTCCCTTTATAATACCTATTTTTGTTCCACCTTTTCTTGTCCAACTGCAGATCATTAACTATAATTGGCATGGACATGTAAGAGTAGATTTTACCAGATTTACTAGATCAGTGGTGGCGAACCTATGGCACGGGTGCCAGAGGCGGCACTCAGAGTCCTCTCTGTGGGCACGTGCGCCATCGCCCCAGTCCTAGGCCTTCAGCTGGGTTTTATAAAACCTTTTCGTTTTAGGCCTCCACCACCGTGTGCAAAAAAATAAAGAAGGTTCAATCAATCAGTCAATTTCAACTTCTCGCGGGGAAAAAAAAGATCTTGCAAAGTTGGAATTGATTGATTGAAGTTTAGTCCCACCCAGTCTGCCATAGCCACGCCCACCCAATGGGCCACACCCACCTAATGGGCCATACCCACCCGGCACCCGACGATGCATAAGTGGGTTTTGGGTTGCAGTTTGGGCACTCGGTCTCTAAAAGGTTTGCCATCACTGTACTAGATCTTACGAAATATGTGTAGAAACATTGATATGTGCTAACTATAATGTTCTGGGCTTTTTATGAAATGGAAACAACCATCTAAAAAGGAAGCCTTCATGTGATAATCCTATAAAAAGTCAGTCAATGAAATCCATTGCCCTTTACAATAGGATATAAGCAGCATCTGTAACAAATAATGGTGGGAAAGCTTCTGTAAAAATAGAACAGACATTGTATTTTTGCAGTGTTATGATATTTTTATTTCGATATCAACTTCTTCCTATATAATATTGAATCCAAAATCAAAACTAGGATATTTAACACCTAGAACAAAAACTTCTTGGTTATTAGTAATTCAAACTGGAATACTCATTCCTACCTTCCCAGCTGAATCAACAGGTGCACGACGCTGCAACAGGAGCTTTGCCACATCAAGACTTCCATACTTTGCTGCCACATGTAGTGGTGTGAATCCCTTCTGCAAAATACAGAAGTAGAAAATTGGAAAGGAAAACTTGTGTCATGCTTTACCCAGACTGGTACTGAAATCAGAAGGAATCATAGAGTAAGATTTAAGAACACAACAGCTTTCTTACAGATTTGTGTGTGTGTGTGTGTGTGTGTGTGTGTGTGTGTGTGTGTGTGGGTGGCTGAGGGCCTTTATTTATTTATTTATTTATTTATTTATTTAATATGCCTCCCATCTCACCATCAAGAAACTCAAGGGCAGAAGCAATGGAAGACCCCCATACATTGTTACTACAATAGACCAATGTAATTTCAAGATCGTTGCTTCTAGTTACCCAATCCATTGATAAAATTATAAAGTTGGTGCTACTTGGCTAATATTGGTACAATAGAACCAAAACTTGAGAATTTACCTTGGTAGCCAAAGAATGTGCTGCACCTGCCTCCAGTAGAACTGATGCTACATCAAGTTGGCCTTCTCGGGCAGAGATGTGTAGTGGTGTATATCCATTGGTTGTTGCAGCATCTGGGTGTGCCATGTGTTGCAGAAGTAGCTGCACAATTTCTGTTTTACCCAAGCGAGAAGCAATATGCAGTGGTGTCTGTTCCTCCTACAACTCAAAACAGGAAAGGAGTTATCTATCTATCTATCTATCTATCTATCTATCTATCTATCTATCTATCTATCTATCTATCTATCTATCTATCTATCTATCTATCTATCTATCATCTAATCCATCCATCCATCCATCCATCCATCCATCCATCCATCCATCCATGTATCTGAGTTCTTCTCACTATAGAAGATTGCTAGAAAAAAAAAGAAACCTGTTCATCATTAATACATCTAGAATTCTTCCAGATTTTTAAAAAAACGTTGCATGACATATGTGAATACATACCCTGGCTCGTGCATCAACCAAAGCACCATTCCTCAGGAGACAGCGCACCACTTCTACTTGTCCTGCACGAGCTGCCATGTGTAAAGCAGTCTCCCCACGCTGAAGAAGAATGAATGAGTCAAATTTGCTAGCCATCTGAATAAAACCTCAAACTCATTTCACATAAGTTAGTCTTGTATATGATAAGTACATTTTCCACATAATGTGAGTTAAAGCTATTGTTCTAATGACACCATATAAAAACCCAAGAGAGAAATCTAATGTCAATTTTCCTTTGACAGAACTTTTTCCTACATGCTGCTAGACCCAATTTGGAAGGAAAATGTGAGGAACCATAGCAACAAGAATTACCCCTGTTTCTCCTATTCCTAGATAGCAGAAAATTGCTAGAAAATTAACAATTTTCTAAACAGAAAACCAATAGCTGGACTCAATCCTTGGTTTATAATATCAAATATAGATCTTTTCTTCATATGCTACTTATGGACATCAATCTGACAAATATATTTAAAAGTGAAAAAACAGTAAATAATATAAATGTCATGGTTGTTATTTATTCTTGGACATAATGGCTGGGAAAAATTATTTACGTTTATTTACTGAACATAAATCTAGTTTGTAGCAATTGTGCAAGATTTAGTTTTCAGTCTATATTCAATTTCAGAGAGCTTGGAATACTTGTTTATCATTGGAAATTCATTAACACAGACTTTTGAGCATGCTGTATCATATATGGGCACCACTGGCACTAGCAGTCAAAACTGAAGACATAGGAAGGCTGAGGAGTAGATAAAAACAAAAGATCCTAAAATTATTTATTTAGGATATTGCTTAGATATTGCTTTGAGATTTCGAAAATAAAAGTGTGTTTTAAATGTATTTACAAGACAAGCAGATGACAAAAAAGGACCATATTCCATTTTGACTGTATCCCAGTAAGAAAGCTGGATAGAAATGGTTTACAAAATACTAATTTCTAGTGTAGCTTCTGGTTAAGACACATCACATTCAGCTAGCCTAGGATTATTCAAATCCAAGCCATACTCACAATGTTAGTGACATCTGGAGAAGCACCATTTTGCAGTAGAAGGAGAACTATGTTCAAATGCCCCATAAATGCAGCCACATGAATTGGCGTCAGGCCCGACTGTGAAATAAAGCAATAGCAATTTTACTCCTCTGCAAAATGCCTTTAAATTATGCCTGATTTATATATATATATATAAAAAGGAGAGTGTGAAGAAAAAGAAGAGATGGCCATAAGAGATGGCTCTTTGTGAAATTTCTCTACCTCTGTTATAGCTTGGATTGAAGCCCCATATTTCACCAGCAGTTCCATTACTTTAATGCGATTTTTCTTGCAAGCAATGTGCAGTGGAGTAAAACCATTCTGTGCAAAAAACAGTCATGTTAGTTAAAGCATGCACCTTCCATTGTCAAATAGATAGGTTATCTCCTTTTTTAAAAAAAGTCAGATTCTGACATATTGAGAAAACAGGAATACCAGAGCCACTGGAACAGCTGCAGCAATGACTCCAAAAGAGAATTTGTGAATGGACATCTTAAGCAGACAAAATGTCTAATTGGCAATTTAATGCGTGTGGTATTCTTCATTCTTTTTGTTATAATAGTAGCTACAGAGACCACAGTAGTGTAGCATTATCCACCATGTGTAAATAATGCAAACTCATAATCAGCAACATCAATATAGGACTGCACTGCACTAAAGTAGCTTCCATGCTGTTTAGAGTATGGAGAAGGACATTAAAGTAAGAATGTTTTGTTTATATTGACACCATTTTCTACGGCTCAGCATAGAATCCTTCCAATTAATACTAGACTGTGTTAACTATAATGGAATAATTACTTCAGTAGTTAATTTGACCTTATCTTGTATAAAGGTCTACTTGTAAATCTAATATATTTTGAACAATTGTAGAACAATGCTGAAATGTTACTCTTTTTTTGCAAAGAAATAGAATATAGCAAGAGATCTCTGATTAATTGAGAGACCCTATGTGTCTTGAATAATGGGGTTTACGACAACCATAAGAAATATCAGTCAATTTCTAATTTATTAATTTTAACAAGAAACCCAAATATGTATGGTCCTACTCTCATTCATACAGTCCTCTCTGCTCCCAAGAAGCTTTCTAAAGGTTCAGAATTGCTCTTGAATGCTCTGGTGGGATGGGAGGAGGCTCCACTGAAGGGCACTATTTGTTCCAAACTGGACAGAACTCTTTATCTGTAGAAAGCCAAGGCTGACCATATGACATTATTCCAGAAGAATCGTGTGGCACAGAAAAGCCTCTTGGAAACCAGAACAATAAGACAAGTAGAAAACTCAACATCCATGAACATCCCTGTCTGCATATTTTTTTAAAAAACAGACCACTTTAATCATCACTATGTACAAGAAATACAAGTTTTATAATGGGGTTTGAATTTACTATTATTGGCTCAACATACTTTATGGTATTTTAATGGTACTTTTGCAGAATCCTTTGAAATTAGCTTAATCCCTATGATATTTGTGGAAAATCGTGGATTATCTCCTAACTTGGAGGATGCACATTACAGTGAGAGCAATAAATCTGTTTCCTTTTCTTCAGTTTTTTAAAATGCTTTTTGTTTCAGTATTGCCAATTACTTATTGCCTGAATTTTTAATAATGCAAGTGTTACTAATTCTAGCCAGAATAAAGCACCAATGAATGTCTTTGCCACTCCCAAGATGCTCCCAAAATGAAGTTATTTACAATGATACTACCTGACCATCTAGGGCCATTTGGGAATAAGAAAAAATAGTCACAGATTGATTTCTTTTAGCTTGCAAACTTGGCATATGGGTTTGGCACAAATAAAAGAAGTCTTCTTTTAAGTTATTGGAATGCTTAGCAATTTCTAAGCTATTAGAATAAATGGAAAAGAAGGGAAATGTTCACTTTCTTGTCTCACATCTGAGACAGCCCCCATCGTTTTTTGGCTTATCATATTCTTGGCCCCAAATTTTCTCTCCTCCATCTGCAAATAAAGGGAATAAGCTGAGGATACTATTTCAGATCATTCTTAAATTGTATCCATGATACCCAAAGGCAATTATATAGAATACAATCACAATATATTACATTCTAGAACTGCATTGACTAAGCTAAAAAAACAGTGTGATTTGTGTGCTACAAAAATGCAACACAGGCAAGTCATGCAAAAACAAATGCATGGTAATTGAATTTATGGGGAGATCTATAAAATGTCCAAAATAGAAACATATAGAAGTATGGGCATCAATAGGAAAGGATGGATGTGTTTTGACATTACAACACAAATTCCATTTCTTATACACTTGTGTGTAATACTGTATCAATAATATGAAAGGGCAAAACATATGTCATGTTTATGTTATATTGCACATTTCATTATTAGGTCATTATGATGGTTAAGTAAGGACACTTATGCACTCAGGAACAAATTATTTCTTTTATCAAGAACAAAAAAGAGACTTGGGTATCTTAAATGTTAACAAATGTACTATGTTAATTCTGTCTAAAAGTGTTACATAGTGTATTTCCAAGCAACATCAAATCAAGAAGTGTTTAAGGTTAAAACATGACTCATACATTGTGTATGAGTGAATCCATATGTCATAAAAAAGTAAAAATTTCCTTTAGGTGGAACTTGATTTTGGTAACTTGGTTATTACATGGATACATCCATGTGTTTTTCTTAGCAACAGTTTGGCCATTGTATTTGGTGGAAAACTATAGATCAGATAGGAAGGCAAGGAAATACAATGGCCAAACTGTTGCTAAGAAAAACACAGTTTATCTAAAAAGTTTAAGCTTGCTTAGTGTTTTGAGCATCTAAAGATTCATGGAAGATTTTATACATTATACATTTAATGGTGCTGTGAAATAGGTAGACATGTACAACCAACTATATGGAGGTACATTAGATAAGGACAGTGCAGTTAAGTTTATCACCTATATCAAGATATACATAATCATTAAGTTACTTATACTTCATAATTGGTAGGTGTGGGCAACATTACACAGACTTGCAAAGAAGTCTCTAGAAGAGAATTTTAGCTTCCAAAGCATTACATGAATATCCTTGGAGTAAAACTTGTTTTGGTTATTTTGGCCAAAATTTGCCTAGCCAGGAATATTCTTATCATTAGCTAGGAATGATGCAGGTGACGCTGATACAACTTAAAGTGGTGCTCTAGACAATATTTCATTTCTTTTGCTAAAAAAAACAAAAACAAAAAACCTTGATTGACCAAACTTGTGATGAGCAGAAAAAAGTGAATTATCTATGGATCCATATATAGAAGCCTATAACATGTAAAGTGAATGGTAAATAACATAAATTACTGAATAAACTGAACAAAATACATATATTGGGTATCTGTGAAATTAAAAGAAGGGGGAAGGTGTGGCACTCACCCTCTGAAATATTATTCCCCCTGAGATTACACTTGCCTGAACCCTACTGGCATTTTGCAACATATTAAAAACTTGGTTCTGGCATCTAGGCTGTGACAGTATGGTTCATAGTTGATTTGAATATTGGATATTATTGATGTTCTCAGCCGTTATTTTTATATTATTGATTCATTTTTAAATTTTGTCTTTTTAATTTTGTTTTAATTGCTAGCCATATATATGAAATGGGTGGCCATGTAAGATGTTAGATCTGAATGAATGAATGTGGTCTGATTTTGTGAAGTTGATGAATGCATGCAAGAAAAGGAGAGGAATTTGAAATGGAATGGGTTCAAATAGAGCAGTTAGAAGAAGAACTTCTCCTGTTCTGAAACAGATGAGTATTCATATTCTGTATAGAAAAAAGCTATGAAAATGCTAGCTCAGGCAATCAAATATATGTATCAAATCAGAATTATTAAGCAAATAAATATTGCTGACCATCTAGCAAACATATATTAGCTCAACCTTCCCCAAGTGATGGAGAAGATACAACACTCAGGTTTTGCAAACAGCATAAATTTAGTGGCTAGAAACTACCATATACGTAGGATTTCCACACCAACACAACTTCATAGCACCCCTGAAAAAGTCTGCATTATGCTGATGTCATTCACTACAACACGCTGCTTATGGTGAAGAACATAATATAATCTTAATGTAGACTGTGATGAGGAAACCCTTAATGTTTCAAAGTCTATGACTGCAGAAGCTTCCCTTTCTCATGTACCATGACTATTCTATTTGCCTCACATTCTTGTCACACGACACTGTACCCATTAAGATACCTTTTAATGTTCAATTGTTTCATTAACTACATGAATTTGTGGCAGAGTTATAGAGTGTCCTACTGAAAAGGCCAGCAATTGTCTTTATGTAGCCACTGGACTGAATGTGTGGAATCAGTATTCCAGTTCCCTTTACTCTCCACCAGAAATCTAGGAAAAGTTTACCAAAGCACGGGCATTTGGATTTGCTCTCTTATCCAGCAGAAGCTTGGTGACACGATAGTGACCACAGTGTGCAGCAACATGGAGGGCAGTCAGGTAATCCAGTGTAACATCATCAACAGGAGCCTTGTGCTGCAGTAGGTGTTTGACACACTCCACATGGTCACCCTGAGCAGCCATATGAAGAGGAGACAGTCCATTCTGAAACAAACAATGCAAAACATTATGCAGTGGCAACTTGTAAATGCACGCGCATGCGCACACAACAAAACTAAGTCTTGAAAAACAGCCTATAAAGTTAGCAGATTCATCCATCAAGTTACAATAATGCATTGCCTAGTTATATTTCAAAGCTGATTTTCAAGATATACTGTACAAACTTAAGATTTGCTTATTTACTTGGAAAACCTCATTCTGTTTTAGAAAGTAAATGGGTGTTCATGCATTTGTGCTTTGTGTCCAATCCACTGTCTATTGTAGTATATTAATACTGCTTTCCCTAAATGTGCATCTTGTTTGTTCATATTTTAATTTTGTCTGCACATACTCTGCTTGTAGAAGTTTATGAATGCATTTTTACATAAAAAGCAATGGAAACAGTGCAGAAACAGAAGTGAATGAGAAAATAAATAACTACATGATAAATATGAGAGCAAGGGTGTATGAATTTTAAAATATTTGATTACATTTTTATCAATTCCCCTACTAGTTATTATTTATTTTACTGCTGTGGGTTTCAATAGCAAACAAACTCCCTTAAAATACTAGTCTGAACTATAAACACACCTTGGTTCTGGCAAGCAGTGGGGCACCTCGTTCCAGGAGAAGCTCTACAACTTGGTCATGTCCACTTCGTGCAGCACAGTGCAGTGGAGTCAGCCCATCCTTTGAAAACAGCAAAAGCAGAAACCCTGTTCTTTTATCTTAGAGTCAAAGAGTCATTTGACTGTACTGTTAATACAAACCTTGCAGCAAAACTAGATCTTTATTGAAATGGCAATGATGAAGTATTTGATTTAGGTATATGTATATATGCATACATATATATATATATATATGCCAACTGCAATTTATTAGCAATGAAAAGAATAAGAACCATTAAGAATAAGTCTCCTTCAGAAACACCCAATCTGTCTATGTAATAGAAAATCATAAAAAAATCTTTTCAAAACATGTAATTATTTTTGAAGTGTGGGTTGATCAGTTCAGGACATATGCATTCCAAAAAGGATGCTGAGGACCTGCCCCCCATGCAAGCGAAGGAAAAGAGGGCCAGAAGACAATGTGTTTCTGTCTGTGTTCCATTCCTTGTGGAATAGATAGTGCTTCCCTGGCAGTTTTCGGGAAGAAAAAAAACACAACTGATTTTCAGAAATTTTAATTTATAATTTAAATTAAAGTTTATGCAGCTGGATTCTGTTCCCCTGAGATAGTTGTTTATTGTTATTTTATTATGCATGGTATACTGTACAAGGAGTCCTTGGTACAACCATTTGTTTGGCAACTGTTTGAAGTTACAGTGGCATCGAAAAAAGTAACTTACAATCAGTACTTATGATCATCAAGCATCCCCATGTTCACCTAATCAAAATTCAGGCAATCATTTATTTATTTATTTATTTAATTTAATTTATATGCCGCCCTTCTCCCGGCGGGACTCAGGGCGGCGCACAACATATTTAAAACAAAGGCATATATATTTATAACAGATATATTTATATTTATAACAGATACAGCATCCTGAGGTCACGTGATTGCCATTTGAGAGCTTCCCATTTGGTTTGTGACAAGCGAAAAAAATGGGGAAGCCAGATTTACTTAATGACTGCATGATTCACTTTACAACTATGGCAAAAAGGGCGTAAAATTGGGTGAGACTCACTTAACAACTTGCTTAGCAATGGAAATTCTGGTCTTAATTGTGGTTGTAAGATTATGTGTAACTAATTCTCGGTCTACGGTTAAAATGCAAATTGCCCAGGAGACCATGTGAAGTCAGCAGTATATAATAATGAAGAGAGATGGACATTTTGTTCCATGGTAACAAAAATTGTGGAAAGGAACAATAAAAAGGGATAATAAGAATGTCAAATGAGATGTCCAGAATCTTAAAACTGAGATGGCATCAAAATAATGCTAAATAAATAGAAAATAGGAAAAAAGATGCCAGCCAAGGAAGACTAAACAGCATTTAAGCATTGTTTGACAAACTTGTTATCAGAACATGATTCTTGCATTATTTTATTTTCTTTCTTTTCTTTTTTCTTTTTTGTATACAAGATGCTGTCTCAAACCACATCAAAGGCTTTTCTAGCACGAAACTCGCTGATTATCCAAAGGCAAACCAGTGAAAAATTTACTGATTCTGGATTACCAAGAACAAGCAACGGAAAGCAGAAAAACAATAAAGCCTTAAAATAAACCAACAACTACACTGCCAAATAAATGTAGAAAAACATGCAAATTGTACTGTATGTTATTTTTGCAGACACTGCAAACATGATAATGATCTATGTAGGTCAACATTCAGTGAGTTCAACACATTGAGCTCTCTAGGTTACAATTTATTTACTCTTAAGACCCTAATGCTTAAATACAGACATACACATACATATGCATGCATGTACATATATGTATATATGTATATATATGTATATACGTATACATGCACATGTAGATATATATATGTGTACACATATATAATTGAAACTGTTTACTGTTAAAACAATATACGTATTATACTTTGTTTTTCCTTTTTTCTGTTGTATTTTTGTCACCTTTTTAAAGCACTTGTTTTCCTTTTATTATTTGATAATATATGTATTTTTATCATCATTATTTCTGTTTTATTCATTTTTTTATTTTTGTTATTTAAAAGCAACAAATAAATAAGACCTGAAAGTTGTAACTGTAACTACCTTAGAATCCATTAATATTAATGTTACTGTATTACCAATAGGTTGTGTTATGTTATATATGCACTTAAGTGAATGGTCCTCTTAAATGTTGCTAAAATTTCCCACCACAGAAATAAAGCAAGTCATTATATTTGAAAGTAGGTATCAGTTTCTAAATCCCAGAAATGCACTGAAGCGTTGGATGACATAATAGCTTGATAATCCACTTTTAGCATCAATGGTTAGCAGGGCTTCTCATAGAAGAATAAATAGTTGTACAGAGAATTTTCTATTTCTAAATGGACCTCAACTGTTCCACATTATTCCTGCCCAAATGCTACATCAGGGGTAGTCAACCTTGGCTCTTTTATGACTCGTGGACTTCAATTCCTTAGCTTAGCTGGCTCAGGAATTCTGGGAGTTGAAGTCCACGAGTCATAAAAGAGCCAAGGTTGACTACCCCTGTGCTACATCAATAAACTGTACTTTGTAACAACACACTTCACTGTTCAAAGAATGACTAAAATACAAGAACCTCACCCACCCAGCAAAATTTAGCTACTTTTCTGTTCCTTTGTTTGTGTCCCTAATGCTGAAGGAAGAAGATAAAAGGAAAACCATATTGGCTGTAAGCCTGTTCATATATATTCAGTTGCATATGTGAAGGAATTGACCTAAGTAGAAAGTAGGACTTGCATGTTATCTCTACCATTCTCTCACCAGCTGGAACTCTGAAGGAGAACATACTTATATTTGTTTGAATGGAAATACAGTTCCCTGTGTGTTCCAGGGCTCTATTTTATTGTAGTCCTGAACTATACAAATGGATATATTTACAATTCAGGCTATAGGCAGCAAATGTCTTTTTTGACCTCTAGCATATCTCATGGAAGACAAAGAGTGTCCCTTTGAGCAGATCTCAGCCTAGAAAAAGTTGAATGCCTTGCTCTGATGCATTCACCAGACATAAACACCAAAATCCCAGGAAAATCAATAGACACCATTATCACCATGTGACAACTGATAATATTCATACAAAAGGGCAATCTAGCAACCTTCTGCCAAAAATAGAGCACCTGGGGTCATCTCTTAATCCATGTACAATCTGGAATTGTATTCTATAACTAAGTGAAACACAGTGCCAACATCTTAGCTTCTCAACTAACAGAAGTAGTTTATGCTAAGATCTCAGGCAATTTGATGACCTAGTCTTATTGTATGTCTCCAACCAGGAAACAAAGGCTACACATTATTGTAATAAATCCCATTACGGCACATAAACTTTGCATGTAACAGGCAGAACTTTTAATATGGTTAGTAATTACCAAATGTTTATCAGAAAATAAAATTGTATACAAAGAAGTAGAGAAGATAAACACAGCGGAAAAACCATTACTTGTATGACTGTTTTTGTATATGTAGGCACTTTTTTTCACTGTGCTCCTTGACTTTTATTAGTAGAGTTTGCAGATCTTTATGTTTTCAGCTAGTGTCATCAGCATAGTGTGGATTACTGGCACTTCTTCCAATTTCAAAACCACACTCATTTTCTTCTGGTCCAGCTTCCCTTAATATATATTCCACATATAGGTCAAAAAAATAAGGGGAAAATAAATCATCTTGTCTCACTGCTTTGCCAACTTGGAATCGGTCTGTTTCACCATATACTGTGCTGTGGCTTCATGACCTGACTTGTGTATAGGTTTTGCATGAGGACAGCGAGATTTCCACTTTTCTAAGCCCATTTCACAGCTTTACATGATTGATACAATCAAAGGCTTCTCCAGAGTCAATGAAGCATATACTGACTTATTTTTGATGTTATTCAGCTTTCTCAATTATCCAGCATGCATCAATAATAATATCTAACATCTTGTGTTTCTCAGCCTTTTTAAACATCAGCTTTCCATGTAGGATCCTCTTTACCATACTTTACACCAGTGGTTCTCAACCTTTTTAATGCCGCGACCCCAACCGGTCGTAAGTCGAGGACTAAACCGGTCGTAAGTCGAGGACTAAACCGGTCGTAAGTCGAGGACTACCCAACCGGTCGTAAGTCGAGGACTTTCCCTGCCCGGGAGCGGACAGCCTTGCTTGGCGACCCCCGTGAAATGGTCGATCGACCCCAAATGGGGTCCCGACCCACAGGTTGAGAACCACTGCTTTACACACTCTGTTAAGTCTCTGTACCATACTTTACACACTCTGTTATGTAGATTGACCTCTTCCAACCTACTGGTCATTGTATTATTCTCCAGATTTGCTGGCACAGTTTGGTTAGAACCCTTATATATTCTTCTTCTATTGCTTGCCATATTTCTACAACTATTTTGTCAATTCCTGTAGCCTTACAACTTGGTAATCATCAGAATAGTGATCTAACTTCATCTTTAGTACCAAAGATCATGGTCTCAAAAGGTCTGCTTTTATGAGAAATGTTTGTGCTGACCGGTGTTAATGACGTTTTATCTTGTAGTTGACTTAGATAAATACAAGTCGTTTAGCACAGTGTTTCCCAACCTTTCTGGCTTGGTGAACCAGCGTGGGAGAGAAGGGATGGTGCCATTTGAGCAGCAGGCATATATGTGAATGTGCGCAGCTCCGATGGTATGAGCAGCGAGCACCCACCAGTTGCACAAATGGAGCTTCATGCTTGAGAGCCACCATTTATGCAAGTGGATCTGCGTGTGTATGCAAGCACCCATCACTTGCACAACCCGGTTCTGAATGGGCGGTGGCCTGCAGCCCAGAGGTTGGGGGCCCCTGGTTTAGCAGGAATGATTAGCAGGCAACCTAGCAGTGTAAGTTTCACCTCTCTATGCTGGTCTAACCTTGCATGGAAGCTTGAAAGCATGTCAATGTCTCTCTACCTCTAAAGTTGTAAAATGGAATCTTAAAAGCATGTAAATTTCTCTCTACTATATCTAAAACCAAACAAAATCAAGGGTTATTTTTAATTTCTTGCTCACACTTTCCTTTTTCCCTAGACTGAATAATTTTTTCTCCTCCTTTAATTATTCATGTTCTTTTCTCCCTCCTGAGCCAAGTCTCTATTCGTTCACAATTTATTAGGTTTTGCCTTAATGATAGTATATTGATATTGTCTTGTTTTTATGGTTTTGTTTTGTAGCCTGGTATAATTTCTTATTTTCTAAGTTTTGGCTGTTGGGTGAGGGAGGTTGCATAGTGACATGGCAAAACTGATTGTTCCAATACATACTTTTGGCTACTGCTGACTTGATTGAGTTACACTGGATTTCAGGGGCTCCTAGCAACAATGATAAAATAGATAAGAGACTCTTTCTTACTTGTTTTTTCTGTAGTTACTAATACAATCCATTTTGGCAATATGTATTCTATTTTTCGATGCGACAATCATATCTTTACCTGTAAGACTTTTATATTATAAATTATGCAAATCATCATTATTCACTTACATATGACCATGACAAAGTAGACAAAGCAAGGAAATGATGCAAGCTGAATCAAAGTTGGACACAAAGATATTGCACAGTCATATGACACCGACAAATGAAACCAAAATGCTGGAATCTCCCACACTGAAAAATGTCTTGAAAAATACGCTAAATTTATGCAAATTGGATGTCAGTCCTTTCAGAGGTCAATATCTCTATTCTGGCAGCTCAGAGCAACACTCTCATCTGATGTGGGTGATAAATTAAACAATAAAGTCATTTTAAATCTTTTTCAGAAGAGTAATCCTATGGAAATCATAGAATCTGTGATTATATTTTCATCAAGTATTGTTCCCTGTTTGGTAGAAAGAATAAAATAGACTATGGAATGTTAGAACTGTTAGAATACTTCGATCTATAATCATATCCAAGAATTTTGAATTAGAAAGGCCATTGATAGCTACCATATCCAGTTGCCTAAATAAATCTTTCATCTTCATTATAGGAGTAGGGCTCCCTTGGTTTTTTTCGTCTCTTCCAGCAGCTGTTTAGCTGGGTAGTACAAGTTAATCAGACTTTTCTGCAGAAAGCTCTTCCTGAGCTTACTGTCCCCGCAACTTCATAAGGCACCTTCACTGTCAGCTTTTAGAAAAACTTTAAAGACCTGATAATTTTCTCGAGACTTATCTTCAATGGATTCTATTAACCTCTTCTAGAATTTAAACATAATTGAATTTAAAGTAAACCCACACTTTAGCAGAATTATTTTATTAAATCAAAACATTTGTATAGCAACCCATTTTAAAACAATTCTGGGCAGCTTGCAACCGATAAAACCATATAAAGTCAACAACAACAAATTAAAAAAACAATCAGAAAAAAAACAGATCTTGTCATTACAGCCACACTTCCCTAGTGCATCCATATTCTAATCCTACCCAGACCTCACTCTATCCCAATGTCTGGGGAAAGAGCCAAGTTTTTAAGTACTCTAGGCAAAGACAAGGCAAAGAAGAGTGGGCCCGTTGGATGTTAGCAGGGAGAATGTTCCATAAAGCAGGGGCTGAAATGGAAAAGGCATACTGCCAAGGTCTCACAAGCTGGCAATGTTTAACGGAAAGAAACTGGAATGTCCCTATCCTATTCACTCTGGTGGTACAGAAAGATAGCCTCAGAAAGAGACAGTCCCTCAGATTACTTGGTCCCATGCCATGTGGGACTTTAAAAATAGTACCTAGCACCTTGAATTGTACCCAGAGGAAAACAGGGACCGAATGCAGATTTTGATAGGAATGCAATATACCATTGCATGCACCATTGCATTGTGGACCAGTTGTAACTTCCAGGTGGTCTTCAAGGGCAGTCTCATGTAGGGCAATTTGCAATAACCCAAACTGGAAGTGATCAAGGTGTGAGTGCAAATTGTGCAAAACATCCCCACCCCAGGCTGTGATTATATTTGCTCATCAAGCAGTAGCTAAATTGAGCACCAGCACTGTATATTAAAGTGCAATCCCACCAGAATCAAAGGTGACATATCACCAGACCCAGAGGTAGGAGTAAAACCAAAAGTCACTCTGTCTTGTCAAGGTTGAGTAGAAGTCAGTTCTTCCCCACCCTCCAGACCCTCACAGCCTTTGAGCAATCTTTAATTATTGCTATTTGTGGAGTTCTATTATTATTTTTACGATTTTGAAATAGATGTTTCTGTACTTTACTGTTATATTTGTATTATAAATTGTATGTTAAGATATCAAAGCCAAGAAATATTTTAAATAATAATGTACAAATTTCCACAGTATTGCAAATCTGGCAATACTGATCAGTATACAACCAAATTCTGCAAATACACTGTATATGATATGTACCAAACAGCTGTTTACCATATAAATCACTGACTAATCTAGGTCACTGTTGTCTATTCCAATTCCTAGTGCCATTCAAAATGTTTTTTTAAATATAATGGCATATCAAGTATCCTGTTGCAGCTTAGGATGGAGAAAGTGAGATAGCCATCCATTTATTTTATTATTTTTCTGCAATTATTTTTTAGCCTGAAAGTGAGAGAGAAAAAATCCAGATATTCTTTAAATTGCAGGTTTGTCTTAATGTATTTCCCAAAACAGGGATGTAGAAGAAGGCTGTGAAACCTTTGATCCTCAGTATAAGAATTTTACAAATATGGAAACAACCAGCTTCAGAGTTTTATGGGGAGCTGAAAAATGCACTACAGTAATGATTTTCCCTTCTGAAATTTGTCACTGGTTTTTGAGTAGAGGACTGAAGAAACCTTTGGTGTCTCTTAGGAACCACAAGATAGTAAGCTTTTTCTAAATTGGTTTATTGCTCATATTGTACCAAAGTTAAAGAAATTATCACAACTGAATTCAAGAATTGGATTGCTGCATAATTATACTAACTTTTGTTGTCTTTTTTTAAAATATAAGGATTTTCAAACTATACTGTATTTCTAGAAATTCCTCTCCCTATGAAAAGATAGTCAAGTTTTGTTTACAAAGTATAGCCCCATGAAGTTTCCAAGTATTTTAGGATCTAAATGCCTGGCAGCTACATCATGTATAATAAGCCTAGGATGCTGTGAATTAAGTGCAATGAGCACTTCAGAAAATCAGAAAATGAAATATTTCCAAATATGCCTGCATAATATAGTTTTGAATGAACGTTTGAGAAACCACTGAAGCAAAAATAACTATTGTAATGTGTATTGTAGTTTGGTTCAATTATAGAGTGGTTTGCTTTTACATTCGACTGGCTTAATTCTTTTAAAAAATGTGCTGTTTTATTGCTAATGTTAAAATAAACCACCTACAAAATTTATCTGTGTACGTTTCTAAACTTTCAAGGGGAAATAAATTAAATAGTTGACTGGAAACACTGAGGATTGAAGATTAATCCAAAGTTTTCCTTTATAAACTTGAAAGCAAGGCTCTGTGCACTTTGAAAATTAAAGCATTAAAAAAAACAGTAGCATCTTTTTCATACAGTAGCTTGAAAAAAATTCAGGCCATTTTAATGAATAAAAGAGAACTTGAACTTTTGCACAAGTACTGGAGCACTTTTTCAGAATGGTTTTCTGATAAGAACAAATGCTGCACTTGATCTTAACCAAAAGGCCCAAATTCTTTTTCAAGGTACATAAAAGCAAAACAGAAAGAGCATCTATTTAAAAAAAAAAGAGTTTTCACTCATGGAAGGGGATATATATTCATAGAATTTCTTCCATGAATAAAATAGCACTGTGTGAATTTATTTCTGCTCACAAAGAAAAACAAATCTTCTAAAAGAATGTGTTTTGATGATTAGAGTTCTAACTCCTACCAAGTGAAAAATTAAAATGCATGAGAACATACATTCAGGGAATAAAACACTCACCCTGGTTTTGGCATCGATCTGCCCTCCACGATCCAACAAGAGCTTCACCATGTTAGTGTTCCCCCTTTTGGAAGCCACATGCAGTGGGGTGATTCCATTCTACACCATGAAAAGAACAAACAAAAGCATGATGGGGTTGGAGACGTTCAATGGGAATGGTTTTGCATTTTGACACAAAACAGTACAGAATATAAACAAGGATGTATCACAGAGCACATTAAACATTTAAAAACAATTCTGATTCATAAAGGTTGCCAATCAAAACCTATCTCTAGATATATAGTATGTCTATCTATACGTGACACAACATAAATGTTATGTTTCTGATGGAGATGTGTATTAGAAACATAACATTTATGTTGTGCCATGTTTAGCGTTTCATTAGAGTGAACAGATAGTTAATAAAGGTAAAAATACTCTCAAGTTGAGCTCAGATCATGGCGATGATATGAACAGATCTGGATAGTTTTCTAGGCAATGTAGCAGAAGTGATTGCCACTGCCTGCTTGGTTGGTTAGAAAAAATCCAAGCATGGATCCAAGCATTCTGAATGAAGTTTTTATAAAAGAATGTGTTTTGATGATCAGAGTTCTAATCCCTAGTCCTTATACATTTCCTTCTACCTTCCCATTAAGTGCAAGCAGTCCAACCGACTTTAACTTTTTGCAAGATCAATTGAGGTCATTCAATATCCTCCTCCTTTATTACAGTGTACAACTAGAACAAGATAATTTAAAATAAGCCAAGTGTTATCCAAAAATATAAAATAGTGTTAAAACAGTTAACTGTACAATCTACTTATATCTGGATAAGCCATGGCTTATGAATAAGGAACACAACTTAACAATTAAGAAGGTATAGGTTTTCTGCTTGAGCAGGCGGTTGGACTAGAAGACCTCCAAGGTCCCTTCCAACTCTGTTATTCTGTTATTATTTTAAATAAATAAAATTTGATCAGGGTATCCAGACAACCTTTTCCAGGGAAAAATCACTGAAAGCATAGTTCCATGTAGAGTGTACACCTTTGAAAAATATAATCAGGGATTTGTTAGATGTCTAAGTGTTACAGAGTTTTCTTTATTTCTGCCATCCATGACTGCATATGGGAGGGCATTTAAACATACCCTGGAGAAAGCCCATCAGTAATGGGTGCAAGATAACTTGTACATAATGTGCAGGTTATTAATGCTGCGACCTTTCAGTATTTCACCTATTTTCAAGTCACTTGAGAGACATCTCTACCCAGCTACCTCTCCACCCCCTCAGATCCAGCACTAGGGTTTTGTTGTGGATCCCATCCTCAAGGAGGAGACCCAGAAGGAAAACATTTTCTCCTATGGTACCCTATTGACTGTTTGGAAGGTCCTTAAAATGTGATTTTGTCATCAAGCCTAAGATTCCAGTAAGTATGGAGCCCACTAAATGATATTGTTTATAAGTTTGGAATGCACTCTCCTATGGTTTTGATTTTAGGATAGTTGTAACTGAATTTTAAATGTTGTTTTTAATTGTTTTGTTTTTATTTTAATTGTGTGTATTTCCCAGAGCCACAAGCATTAGAAGGAGAGCTACGTAAACTTAACAATAAAATAATAATAATTCTGGAGAACTAGAAAAGGGTGATAATTTTGTCATTTAAGTGTGAACTCAGATTAATTAAATGTGTAAAGAAATAACCAGCATTTAGCATTAAGGCTTAGAGTAGCCTAGATTAAATGTAATAAAAACAATGATATATGTCCACACGTTTCTACTGATTCATGCAAGTAAACCCATAATTATTACATGTGCTTTTAAATATGTTCTTTTATATATTTGTGTGTTGCAGTGCACTATTTAAAATTTAAAAAGATCAAAACATCAAAAGTTTGCTACAGACATACACAAACAATATGAAAGACAAAATGACCTTCATAATCTATATTTATATTCTATCAAATGCCTAAATACATAGACAGCACATTAGCGCAACAACAATGAAGCCAATTATCATAACTAATTGTTTGCATTAAAATGTCTTAAACAGGTCTAAAGATTTTGTTTCATTTCATATTCATGAATAGTGGGTAAAGATTTAGCATGATGGTAGGAAACAGAAAGAAAAAAGATTAAAAAGTACTTTAAATATATGAAGAAAACCAATCCTAATAAGATGTAGAAATTAAGCAGGGAAAAAACATTTGAGCTGAGCCCATGCAGCCTATCAGACAGTTAATAATAGCTGCTCTATGAGGGAAATAAGTAGTGTCTAAATATGACTAATAAATAAAATAGTTAGATGGTGTTATAAGATGTTCAAAATTAACAGCACTTCTGTGTAAGTATATTTAGAATACAGGAGACTTCCAGCTGAAAAGCTGTACTGTTGTTCTTGTTTTTTAAAAAGTAAGGTTTTATTTGCACGATTTCGAGAATTAAACAGAGTAGAAATGAGCACACATTTTTAACTTTATATAAATAATCAACCAGCTTATTCAAACATTTCTAAATTTATTTTAGGGTATTATTCTTTAAAGGCCAATACCTAATATATTTTTTAAAAAAAATACAAACCAGTTTATCAAGAATAGTTAAAACATAAAAGCTTGGTCATCACAGAAATATAATTCTATAATTTCTAAGAGCTGCTGCAATAAGTAAGAGTTAGTTTGATGCCCTAATGAAGTGAATTTGATCACCAAGAAATGATTCATAGAGATAAATCAAGGATACAATTGTTTTCCCTAAAACATAGCATTCTAGATAAAGATAAGTCTTAGTGGATTTAGAGCTTGTGCTGATGTAAAAAAAACCAATCACTGTATAGTTTAGAGAACAAAACAAATTATGAAGTGTCAGTAACGACCCCAAAGGAGTAACATGATCCATATGAAGAACTATATGGGAAAAACGGGTTAATAAAGCAAACTTTTCCAATCTACTATCTTGAAATATGAAGGATTACAACTGACCCTATTCTAAGTAGCTAGATGATAATTGTTACTGTTGTGATGATATGCGGGAAAGACCTTGGAAATTGGGAAATTGCTAGATTCTATCAATGTAGCTTTACAATACAGTAGAATTAATTTGTCTGGTTGTGATTCATTTCTGGTTTATGCCACAAAGCCAATGATAATCTCTCAACTCTGGAAGTGCAATCCTCCCATCCCCACCTGCTTTACAGCAAGATACACTATGGAAGGTGCCTTCTAAACCTCTTGTCCAACTCATTATCCACTTGTGGGCAATACTGTCTCATATCTCCATTCCCTTGGCATGATGTCTTGTCTTGCTCACGTCTCCCAAGGTCTTTCCCACATATTGTCCTAGTTGTGCTTCAACATATATGTAAAATTTAAAGGAAGCTTTCATAAGAGAAAGTCTGCTTCCATCTTCATCTGTCAGGGTGGAACAAGTAATACGTTGATGATTGAGAGAAAGCAGCAAATGCATTAAAGTCTGTCGAGGTGAACATGTTATAGAACAGGGGTCCCCAACCCTCGGTCTATGAACCAGTACCGGGCTGCAGCATGCCAGCAACTAGGCTGCAAAAAAAAGCAAAACCCCATCTGCGGTATGCAGGCAGCACACAAAACCACACCCCCTCCGGTCCGCGGAAAAAACTCTCTCCACATAACTGGTCCCTGGTGCCCAAAAGGTTGGGGACCTCTGCTACAGAATACTAAAGCTTTTGATTTTGCTACCATATATTTTTTCTCGAATGCCCAATTCATATACAATTCTTAACTTAAATATAGATTAGTTAAAAATGAAAGAATATACCTATTATATTAATACAGGTAATCCTTGCCTTAAAACAGTTTGTTTAGTGACCATTTGAAGTTACAATGGTACTGAAAAAAGTGACTTATGATCGTTTTCCACTCGACTGTTAAAGCATCCCTGTGGTCATAGGATCAAAATTCAGACTCATATTTATGATGGTTGCAATGTCCTGAGGTCATGTGATAACCTTTGTGACCTTTTGACAAGCATAGTCAATAGGGAAGCCAGATTCACTTAGCAACCTTGTTACTAACTTAACAACTGCAGTGATTCACTGAACAACTGTGGTAAGAAAGGTCGTAAAATGGGGCAATGCTCACTTAGCAACTGTCTCGCTTAGCAATAGAAATTTTGGGCTCAATTATGATCGTAAATAGAGGATTACTTGTATTAGATATATTTTTTGTTCATTTATAGTGGTACCCTGTAAAATATAACGAATGCCTTACAGTCAACTATTTTCTTAATATGAAACATGATATTACTTCTAAGGGAAAGGGGGATGGAGAATCATTGCCTTTAAATAAACAAATCCGTGAATAAAACAGATGTGCTGCTTCCTTTCCTTCCTTATTTCCTTCTTTCCTTTTCAATGCATTTAATGAAAATTTCCTTCAAAATTCACTGTTATTTCTATGTGCAGAAGATGAGAAAGCATACCCTTGCTGTGAAGTCTACAACAGCTCCTCGGTTGAGTAGAAGTGTCGCTACATTAACATTTCCATAATGTGCCGCTATATGCAAAGGTGTGAAACCACTCTGCAAAAATGAAATAATTCTAATTAGAAAATCCAGTTCATTTTTTCCCCCATAAAACAATAGTTAGCTAAAATTTGAAGACTGTAAACCAGAATTATTCTTCTACTTCTGGACTACTTTAACTGTACAAGAATTAAATGTTATGATTTCTTATTTGCTCATTTCATTATTTATTTATTTTTCTTAGTTCAGATGCAAAACTCATTTTCTCTGTTTTCTGAGAAAAAAATAATTTTTTATACTTCTTATCAAGTACTGTATCAAATTTTGCCATGCTACTTGTTGATTCTCCATATGATTTAGAAAGTGAGGGATGTTGCTAACAAAATTTGGGTCCATAAACTATAGCTGTCCATGCTTAGCTATTCATCTACTATGGCAAATTTCCATAGCTGTCTACAGAAAGCAACTCTGTGAAATTAAGAAGTAGCTCCTGTAAAGTGCTTTCAACATCTAGTTGTCAACATTTTTATCATTTTTTTCGTCAAGAAAATAGGATCTGAGCTCTGCTGAGCTGAGAATACTTTTAAATTGGAACAAAGTTCCACTGATTTCAGTATATTAAGTTGCCCAGAACTTGAAAACATAATAAATTATAAAAAGGGAAAGAAGCTGAAAAATTTAAAAAATGCCATCTGCAAGCAACAAACGATCCAAACCAATTGTCCAGATGAATATTTTGGAATGGATTTACACTGCTACAGAAATAAATTCATGTTACAGGCAATTGTTCTGTACTTAATAATTCCTCTGCAGGCCCACTATTTTAGTTCCCTACTCTACTATGAAAAACAAATACAAAGAGCATCTCAAAGCCATAAAACAAAATAAAATAAAAAAGATGAGACAGTATATATTTCTGACAAGAGTAGATAAAAATGAAATGTGGTACACTCTGAACTGTATGGAACAAGGGAAGTGGGAATGAAATGGTTTTCAGTAAAGGGCTGGGAAGAATAGGTTAACAAAACTGTTGGTTTTGGTACCTCAGTTGTTCTATTCACCATCATCTGTTGAAGCATGTTTTGGAAAAAAGAGGAAAGATATTACAGATTGGTAGAATGACAGAAAGCTCACGTGTTCACTAAAATGAATTACAATCTCGATACTGGGGGGAAAAACCCTGATACATATGATTAATTTCTAATGTCAGTGTATGGAATTCCACATTTCCAGAGATCACACAGTCCACAACATTCTCAACAACAACACTTTTTAACAGTTGTTTTCCCCTACTAAATAATCAAAAGTCTACATTTTATATTTCAGAATCCAAAGCACAGCATTAATTGGATTATATTTTCAAAAGATGTAAAGTACTGAAAAGCCACAGATAGTCAACACAAGAAAAAGAAATCTGAAGCATGAATTGTGCCTTTAAGTCCATATCTTCACTGTAAGAAAAAAGGGAGGGTTTGCTGGATATATCAGATTCAGCATCCATGTTAGTAGCTTTTATAATGCTGTATACTTATTAACCACATTAAGATATTGTATAAATATGCTATAAACCATAAATTAATAAATATATGAATCATGCAAAAAGCTGCAAATAGTTGCACTTCCAATCTCAGTGAAAAAAGCATACCTTTATCCTGCTCATTAGGGAAAAAATCCTTGGAAACAGGACTGATAGCATCCTGAAACAAAGAGGTATTTTTGTACCTTAGACTGAACATCAGCATTATGATCATTCTGGAGAAGAAGTGCTGCTGATTTGGTGTCATCTTTTCTGGCAGCAATATGCAGTGCCGGCAGTCGCACTTTCCCCTTAGTGTCATTCTCCAAAAGAATAGCCACTGCCTGATTGTGTCCTTGCTGCAATGCAACTGCGAGTGGAGTGAATCCATCCTGTTAGAATGGAAAGAAAAAAGATTCTGCATTAAACTAGTTTGGTGCTATCTAGGCGGCACTTTGGAACAAAAGGCTGAAGCTCCATTCAGTGGAATAGGCTTGCTTTTGGCTACCACATTTCAAAGCTGGCAGATCACTGAGGTAGTATTACCATTTTAAACACAGTGTTCCTTAGGAGATCATTCACTCTAAGTTTAGAAAAAAGTTATCTAAAAGTAAACGAAAGACAAAATCCATATGGCCCTTTTTGGTATAAAGAGCCCTCACACAAATCATACCATTTATCAATAGGCAATATTTTTATTATATTCAGGGTGAGATATTCACTTGTAGAATCCCACACCAAAGCACATTGTTGATTGCATCATGTCTAATATGGAACTGCATCCTCAGTGATTGACTTCTCCTGACAGTAAACCTAATCTGAAAATAAAGTATGAGGCATAGCTACATTTTTTGTGGTAGTATATGAGGTATTGAAAATGTATAACCAGCCTTTCTATTTATCATTTAGGTGGAACAAATATATTTGATCATTGTAATTAAGAATATCATTTTCAATGTACAAAATGTAGATTTGTCACATTTCTTAACTTTAAAATACTGAAATTTCAGGAAAGTTTCCTAGAAGGCCAACTAATAGAATATAGGCAAAGAATATAAGAAAACATGGTAATGTTGAATTAGCCAATATAATATTGACTATAGTTGGAATTCATGTGACACATAAAAGGAGACAGTAAGAAAATGTTGAAGCCAAAGTGCCTTGTGGAGTTCTTTAAAATGATAAAAGAAGAGGGCTTCTAGTTTTGCATCGTGGTGACACAGCCAAGGGATTGCGGAGCTCCGCACCCCACGGATGGTTTCGCCCTGCCAGGGGACCCTAAATGGATCTAAAGTCACCCCAGAGAGGCGACGAAGGAGGGCCCCCCCATCAATCTGGAAAGATGGTGGTCGATCCGTTTGATCCAGGGGAAGCCCTCCAACCTGACAAGAGAAAGGCTAGCTGCACTCCGGTGACTAGCCCAAGCTACCAGCATCTGAAGTCCAAAAGAACAACTGTGAACAGCGTGTTTGGAACTGAGTGAGAACATAGATCTTCTCTTCTCCATTTTGAAACTGATTTCCTCGAAAAGATCCCCAAGAAGGAAAAAATCCTCCAAAAGTGAAAAGGAAGGGGATTATAATCCCACCCTTCCATAGATGGAAGTGGCAAATTAACTTTTATGGGGGACAGAAATATATTGAAATGGATGAATGTAAAGCTATAACCTTGATCAAACTGAAAACTATGAAAATTGTTAAGATTTTTCATTTGAAAAAATATTGAGAAAACTACAAGAAAAGAATTTTTTCGTTTTAAAAGTTGAAAATAAATAGCTACTGACATCTAGTGGTGGATCAGAGTATAGAACTACAGCTGCCCTGCCTCAGAAATTGGCAAGATGCCCAGAAATAGAGCACAACTTGTTCTTTTGATCCTCAGTGAATCTTAGCTAAATAGAGAACAGCTGGGAGTAGAGGAGAGAAAATACACTGGGCTATCTATTGTAGAATGAGAAACACAATTGTTATAAAATATGCTGACCTTCTCAGATTATAAACACTTACTGAGCTATGATATTTAAGTTCAAGAATTGTTTGCAGAGAAAGAAAAACCTTGACTTATTGGACACTTTTCTAGATGGGAAATTACTGGATTGTTTTTAAGTGGTTGAACATTTTGGACTGTTCATAAAGATAAGAACTATATAAGATTACAGTGGAACTTAAGACTGGTTGGTTTGATGAAAATGGAGGTTGAACACATAACCAAAAGTGGTAGGAAACCACACTCAATATTCCTTTCTAAAATCCTCAGTCTGGAATATCAGATATCTGCAGGAGTAATACTTCAAGACAAGACAAATATCTTCCACGAAGAAATGCATGCTATGTTGGAATTAATTCAAATAACAATTGTTTCAAATCATGATGAGATTGAAAATAATTTTGATGATATAAATGAGCACATCCTTGACCTAAGCTCACAATCAAAAAACTCTTAGAAAATGATGACAAAGAATGAACAAATAAATCAGACAATAGAACAAAGACCAGAGGAAAGTGTCCCAAAGATGGAGGCTACAAACGAAGAAAATCACAGTTTAACACAGACAAAGAAAAGTCCACAAGATTCTGCCATAATATTGGAAATGGAAAAGACATTTTATCTTTCAGCACTGAGGATAAGAAAGAAGATTTGATAAAATGGACTATAGAGCTGTCAGGAGAACCACTAGAGCTTGGGAGACAAAAGCTGAAAAGAGAAAATGAGGGAGAAGGAAAGTGGAAGCTTTTTAACAAATATAAATGGGCGAAACACCCCCTCAAAAGCGTTTTACTCAATTTGTCTTTCCCATTTTTAACAACACTTATAAAAATACAGGAAGAATCCTCTGGCAAGCTGAACATACTGATTCGGAAAACTGCCTGGCAAAAGAAGGAGGAAAGGGCTAGACCAGTGGCAGCGAACCTATGGCACGCGTGCCAGAGGCGGCACTTGGAGCCCTCTCTGTGGGCACGCGTGCTGTCGCCCCAGCCCCGCCTCTCCCCGCAGCCCCCTCACCAGCAGTGCCCCTGGAGGAGAGTCGCCCGCGGGCGCGGCCTGCACGGAGCAGCGCAGCCAAGGACATAGCCAGGCAGCAGGGACAAGACCCGCCCTCGTGCCTCATAGTGTGCAGATGATGCTGCGGGGTGTGGGTGGAGGGCATGGCTGCCATGGCGCTGCAGGGCTGCCTGGGTGATCTGCTGCAGTGGGCCATGGAGGCGGTGCATGGTCCTGCAGGCGGGCGGGGCAGGGGGCAGGCAGGGGTGGAGCAGGCAGGACGGGAGGCGGAGCGGGGGCAGGGGGTGGTTTTTGGGCACTCGGTCGCTAAAAGGTTCGCCATCACTGGGCTAGACTCAAGAGAGATGATTTGACCTACCAGATGGAGTATTACATGACTAAACACTTGTTTGAATATGGTTAAAAGAATAGTTTTATAGTAGAATAGTTTTATAGTAAGAGAAATGTGATTTATAAATAGTATAGTATTTCTTTATGATATGGGAAATGTAAAAATAATGGGATGAATTAAACGAACGAAATATTTTGGATATTTAAATATATTCAACTTGGAGGAAATTATAATTGACAAGAAATGTTCTGAATACTGAGGGGAAATTAAGCTTAAATAAGAATAGGAGAGAGCCAAACTCAAGAGAGATGATATGACCTAATAGATGGAGTACTGTATGATCAAATACTTGTTTGAATATGGTTAAAAGAATAGTTAAATTTTGGACATGAATGGGATTTATAATAAGAGAGGTGTGATTTACAAGTAGTATAATATTTTTTATGATATGTGAAACATAAAATACTGGATGATTTAAATGTGTGAAATGTTTTGGATATTTAAATATACTCAGTTTTGAGAAAATTATAATTGACAAGAAATGTTTTGATTACTGAGGGAAAATTAAGCTTAAATAAGAATTCTGAACAGAACCTATAGCAATTTACATAAGATGATTTTTTGCAAATGCAATTGTAAAATAAGCTGATTAGAAAAGACGCTACATATTGTTATTGTTATTCCTATAAATATTAGAAAAATCTTTATATTCAACTTTATATGTATTGAAAATACTAAGAACTATATTTGTTCAATGTTGGTAAAAAGAGAATATTATTGGAAGAAGAGAGGATCAAGAAAAGGTATTTCTAGTTAGTATGTTGATTATGAAACCATAGAAATTAACTATTGTTGATTGTTGTTAAATATATGAACCCAGACAACACGTTGTTTACCAAGTACTAAAGATTGTTACTATAAAAAAATCAATAAAATATATTTTTTAAAAAATAAAATGATAAAAGAAGAGTGTTTCTTTCCTCTGGAAACTGTGAACAGAATATTAAAACGGGACTGGAGACCTAGGAACCATGTGAAAACACTGGAACCCAGAAGGTGGGATCAGAATAGAAACGTGACGTAAGCAGCATCATGATGCAATCCCCAGCCTTTTTGAATGTATATTTATCTTTTGATAACAAAATGAATGGGAAATGAATTGCAATGGTTGCTTTGATTATCTGTAACTTGTCTTTTTTGATATACACTCACATCCCAGCAAGTGCCACTATGTGCAAAGCCTTCCTTCTACTCACATTCAAAACAAATTGCAATCTAGCAAAAAAAGAAGTGTTAGGAAACTAAAAGCTAATAATGGATTCCTGGTTTGGGCCACAATTTTGTTTGGTTGGCTGGTATGGCCCAACAAGCACCAGTAGGTGTAAATCCTTCCTTACACTCTCATTCAAAATAAACTGCAATATAGCGAAAGAAGCTTTAGGACAACAGAAGCTAATAATGAACTGTTGGTGTGGGATTATAAACCTTCTTCTGTTTAAAGAAGACAGAGAGTGAAATGGTTTCATTCCAAATCTAAAAACACTCAGTAATGCCTGTTAATAAGTAGGTGGTTTTAGAACTAACAGAGAAAAAGTGTTATCCATCTCATCCTGTTCCATGTAGTCACTTAAAATAGAATAACACAACTGCTACTCATTCCTAGCATAATATGAGTTGCACTTTCAATTTCATATCCTCACAAGAAATGAATGAATGTACGTGGGGAGAAAACTGTGCAATATGTTATCATCATCATCACCATCATCAAATAGAGAAATGTAGGCATGAAGATCAACTACTGATTCATTCATTTGCACTGTTGTTTCGGTCCAGTTGCTTAGCAACCACACNTTTGAGCATGAAACATGAGATTGAGACTTTATGTGGTTCTGTAAAGCTTAATATTATCCTTCAGATTCTTTATGCAGCACTTAAGTTAACTTAGAATATACTGCAAGAAATAGGATTTTCAAATAAATAAAGTAAAAGTTACAATATTTATGAAGAAAAGAAAAAATCTATTATTTATTGCTTATATTTAATTGGAAGTAACTCACTGTCCAACATAGAACAGTGACCTTAATCATGGCAGATTTATGGGCTGGAACAATATATATTCCATGGCACTATAATATAAGAAAAACTTGTTGATTATAACAGAGCTGCAAAAGAACTTTTACAACTTGATATTCTGACCAGGAGATAAAAATGTGAACTTGGGATTTAAGAGGAGTGCAAGATTCATATTTTCAAGGAATGCTTTGAAGAATAATAAAATTCATCCTAACCATCAGGTTTAATTCTTACAATGCCACAGTTTACAAAATACAGTTATGAGCAGGCTATTAACAGACTCAGATAAAACATTTGTTGCTTGCATTTTATGTATATCTTTGAAAATGACACTGAAGCATTTCATTAATCAAAAATAGAAAATAAGTAACTTTTATTTTGTTTAATTCATCCAAGAATAAAACCCAAACAATATATGCAATACACATTATATTGGTTTTGAGCACCTCATTAAGTTATATATACACAGTACTCTGTACATTTTAATATATTTTTATTAAAATGTGAATATAGTTTTAAATTATTCACTGTGTACAAAGCCTATAACATAAGAATTCAGAACAGCTTAATGGATTTTGTATTATGGTTTTTGAACACTAAGTCTTGCTATTTTTGTTTCAGGATTATTACATAGTTCTTCATTTCTGTTTTGAGGTCAGCATGCATTTTCTGGAAATATATAACATTATGGTAATGCAAATGCATCATTAAACAAATTCTGTTTGTCATAACATTTCATTTTTAGCTACCCTATGAGCTCAATTAAAAAAAAGTCATCAACCAGTCATTAAATGTGTGATATGAAGTGCAACTTTAATGCACCATAAAAAGACAGATTTACACAAACATTCCTTTTTAATATATAAAATATACAAAGAAAATGTATTTGCCAACCAAACTGGAGTTCGAACAGTTTCAAATATGAGAATGCAGTAAGTCAAAGATGTATTCAAAACAGTATACTACCAAATGCTGAGCAGCACATGGTATATCTCAACCAGTAAGTTCAAAGTAACCAAACCAACCAAATTATTTCCATAAATAAAATGTCTTCCATTTCCTGGAGTAATTTTTTTTATTCAAAAGCTAATTTTTATTTTAAAACATAATGAATTCTGCATAATTGTACATAGAATAACTAACTGAGAATTCTAATTTTGCCTCAGGAAACCATTTTAATGCAATTTAGTTATGTGTAGAACGCAGATATATATCTTCATCCTAAATAATTGCCACATTTGAATAAGGCCACACATCTGAAATCACCAGGTTGCTTGGGCCTGTATGAATTACATATCTCTTAAAAGAGCTATGGAAACTGATAATATCCCCATATCTAAGTACTAAAAAACCAAAAATTCTCAGCATAGAATATGAGAGNAAAATTAGGATATGGAAAAAAAGGTTAATATCAGTAGATGTGTATACCTCATCTAATACTCTTTCATTTCTCCATGATACTATGCCATGGAAATTATCCATAATATTTAGACATACTAATGTTGTGCAGGCGTGCAATTGATATATTCAAGTATGTTGCCATTAATATATTTTTGCAGAAAACAAGTAAAATTATGTATCTGGAAGATGCTGCTCTGCTCTGTTCTTTCTTTCTTTTCCTTTGTCTTCGATTCCTTTGCATAATATGAATCTTCAGTTATAGATACTTTTTATTATGTAACGCTGCTGCCTGTGAAGCAGCAAAAAATATGTCGGATCCAAATCTAATTCCCATCTATGCAACATGGATTTAATACATACACTCATACATATTTGCAAAGTCAAAGTCAGCTATAGATGATGTTTAGGGTAGTCCAGCTGACCACAAGCATATTAATAAAGTATCATTAAAGTGTATATTTGTGTATTTTATCATATACGTTGTTTATAGATACATATATTTGTGTACAGTGTACATCCCATACTAAATATACTATGTCAGTTTAAGCTCAGAAGCAGATAACTCATTAAAAATACAATTATTTCTAAATCTAACTGTTTAAACCTCATTGTCTAGACAATGTACAATTTTAAAAAATCTGTTCATAAAATCAAGAAACATTGTAAAACAATAGAACATCTGAGAACCACATTAAAATTAAAATGGGACAAAATATAACACAGCCCTTAAAAGTCTAATTTACAACAGTAACAAAGTTTCTAAGATGAGAGATCTCAGTCTTGAATACCTACTAAGCTAGTTTCCATCAATGGTAGAACATGACTAACAATAAACAGCACTTCACAAATATGGAAAACGCCATTCAAGTAATTCCAGCAATGAATGATTTAGGGATTTAGCAACCAAATAGCACTGGGAATTGCTTAATATAATGCCCGACCAAAATCTAGCTATCAGATTTTATGTAACTATATCTTACAAATGTTTAACTGTTCAGATAGATTCTACCTAATGTGAAGTTTTGTTCATTTGTTTTTGAACCTTTAAGTCAGTGTTGACTCCTGGTGACTGCCTGGAGAATCCCTGAATTTTTGTTGGGAAGGTTTGTTTGGAAGTGCTTAGCCACCATTTCCTTCCTAGGGACGAGAGTGACTGGCCCAGGGTGACCCAGCTGGCTTCATGCCTAAGACAAAATGAGAACTCATGGTTTCTGCTTTCTTTTATGTCGCTTTAACCATTACACCAAACTGGCACTATGGTCAACATTTTGAGGGTCAAAAGTTGCCCTTAATGTTGTATGAAGCATATCAGTTATAGTTACTGCCACAATGTTATAGTCCCCAAGCTACTTAATTTTAATTTAAGAGCCAGCCCAGATAATATTTGGCAAATTGCACTAGTGAATTTTGGATAAAATTCCAAGGATGATACAAAAGAAGCCGTCTATAAACATTGGGTGCAACTTGCCCACCTCTAAGTAGGCTAAGCAGAATCTAGTCATAAGAGTGATTGCAGTTTTTTGTTGTAAGAACTCTGATTCAGCTTTTAAAAATGAACATTCCTTGATTAACTTTCCAGCTATTCCAACATTTTGAAACAGCTTATCAACCATAAGACAAGAGGGGAGGGCTCAGTCCTTAGAGTTTAATGCTCTTTAGACCAGGGTGCCCAATCTTTCTGTCTTGGTGGACCGGTGGGGGGGGGAAGAGAATGGTTCCATGTGAGTGGCAGAATGTTGGAGTTTCGTGTGCCACTGCCTGTCACTTGCACAAATGGAGCTTCACGCGTGAGTGCCCCCAGCTCATGTAAGTGGAGCTGCGCACAAGGTCACACTTTCCTGCCACTTGTGCGGCCCAGTTCCAAACAGGCTGTGGCCTGGTAGTGGGCTGAAGCCCAAGAGTTGGAGACACCTGTTTTAGACTATCCATACTAATATTATGCAGGCATGAAATTGGTGTGTACATATATTTGTTTATAAATGTATTGCATGCAAATGAGTTTGCCAATTTCCCAAGTAAATGCCAACCATGTGAGATTACTTGAGATTGCTTTGACATGGGAACAAGATCATTGCACATTAATGCTGTAAAAATACTGATGCATGTAAAAATGCCTTCATATATTTTGAAGGAAATACATACTTTATACCTTATATACCTCAAGGGCCTTTTGTATGATGAACTTCAGTAGCATCATGCACAGATTAAGAATTTTCATCTGATTGTAGATGCCACTTTATTTAAAGATTTGTCAGCTCCGTTCTGCTCTTTCCCTCCCTCCAGAACAGGAGGCCTCTTCTGTTTTGCTGGTGTGAGTCAGCAATTACAAAAATAGATCAAAGATTATTGTCTCAGATACCAAGGCATTTCCTGAATATAAGGGGTGGGTGAGTAGGAAAGCATTATTCCAGATGCTACCTTGTAGTTAGGGCTTGTGGATAATCACTGCTTATTATTATAGTTAAACTTTAGACTTTTAGAGAAAATAAAAACATAATAACGCTGTATTTTAAGTCTGTATTTTACATTTGCAAAGATTATAATGATTAAGCATGGACTAGTCCTTCCTAGGATGGAGAGGCAATAAATTAGAAGCATATTCTTTGATCACTTCTATTGGTAATTCCTTGTTCATTAGACATATGGCTGTGTATGAACTAATTTCTAACATTTTTAGGAATGTTTAAAGATGTTATTGTGTTACTAAATTATTTTTAAGCTACATCTAAAATTTAGGGGGAAAAATGGCTATGTTATGCTTGGTATGTTGCAAAATGGTGACTGCTTTTGCAGAAGGATGTGTGAATACCAGATCATAAAGGATGGCTTAAATAATCTGGACAATGATTATTTGATATTATTGATGACAATATGTATCATTTATAAAATAGTTAATTCAGCTGCATCTGCTGGAAATTGTTAACATCAATCACGATACTGAATAAAGTGTGTACTTCACTGTATACAGTATGTCACCAATTAACCTTGAGACCATTTTTATTTAAAGTGCAATAGAAAGTTGCACATATGTGTCAACTTACCTGAGACTGTGCATTAATATTAGCTCCTTCTTTAACTAGAACCTTGACCACTTCAGCCTGTCCTGCCAGGGAAGCAATATGTAGCGCAGTATTTCCCTTCTGCTTTGCACGGAATAAAAATGCACACATTAATTTAAATTGTACCTATAATTCAGAGCAACATACAGTACAATCGCTGTAATATTAATAAAATATGAATTAAATGTTGAAATTTCTCCATTATAAAATGTTCAATATCTTCCATTTCCCTTATAATTTGATTTAAATTAAGATTATCCAGACACATTTCTAGAAAAGTAATATATTTATTCTTTTTTAAAAAAATAAAATCAGTACTGTTGATAGGCATTTTCATTAGCAAGCACCACAATTTGGAAATAATTTTCTTAAATAGTTGTTTCTAATTATGAAATTCTGTCAGCAACATGAACATTGAAATGTAGTTATGCATACCAATTCCTAATAAATCAGAAGAACTGAGCTACCTAGCATGTCTGTTGAAAGAAACTGATGGTTCTAATCCATAATGAAAGAAATTATGAAACTAATTCAAAATTTGCTGTTGGTTTATTTAGCAATTGAATAGAGTTCATTTTGACCAGTTCTTGGTTTTTTTCAAAAATAATAGAAATTAAAAATTCTACCAGCTGTGCATAAGAAGGAGCAGGGAAAGTGGAAACAAATAAGTTTATACTTTGTCCTGCCTACTTTAGTTAAATATTAAGTCCTGATTTTAGCAAATCCAAAACAATCATTATTCGCAATAAGTCTTGCAAAGTTTCACAGAACTAAAATTGTGACTCATGTGCAGATGACATTTCATTCAGGATTAGGAGGAAAAAGCAACATGTACAGTAGTGGCAAAAAGTGTATTTTTGAAGTTTGATGGCTAATAACACCACTTTTGTTGGAGTAGAAGCATAACATTATATATCAATGGAAAGATAATTTAATCAAGAATGTAATGGAACAAAGTTTGTTCAATTATCTGTACTATATTCTATGAAAAGATATAGCCAAATAATCATAAAAACAAAGCACAGCTTGTTAGGTTGATATCAGGTAGCTTTCATTCATCTGATTGTAGCCAATGAGCATGAGTGTTTAGACAGCCAATCAGGTGTCATCTTGTTTTGGCAATGAGCCAATCAGATCACAGTAGGATTCAGTTATTAATGTCATGTATTGAAGCTGAGAGGACACTTGTCAGTGTGTTATGTGATCGCTATCAAGTTGGTTGGGGTTTTTTGTGTTCTTTCATTTAGTGAGCTTGTAAAATGTAATAAAATTAAAGTAATGGTGCAAAAAGTTGACTGGTTGCCCAGAAAGTGATGTAAAATAGTATTATTAAGTGAACAAGGCTACAGTTATAAAGAAATTAGAAGAAAAATTGGTGGAAACTTAACCAAAGGTGGCATTTCTACTGTACACTTTTTCCAAAAGGTTTCCACAATTTTGGCCACTACTGTAGAAATTATATGGGAAATATACAAAAGCCATAGTTTAGAAATATTGCCTAAATAAACTTTAAATAATTAAAACATTTACCAATACATTTTACCATTCACTCTTTTGTGTTAATGATATTTTTCTAAGCACCTGGGCAATGAATAATTACCTTTGTTGCAGAATCAACTGCAGATCCTCTTTCCAGCAATTCCTGAACCAAACCCACATGGCCTTCTTTGGCAGCCAAGTGTAAGGCATTAAGTCCATTCTGTATACAAATAAATTATATTGTTAATATGGAGGTTACATTGACATTTTGGAAAATGTCATATTATGCATACTGTTTCTCAACTTCAATGTAAGTCACAGAGCTGGCAAGATGAGAGCAATAATTCCCAGGGTGGGAAAACTATTAAATCAGCATGGAGCAGGTACTGTTCAATGCAATAAAGAAAACAGTCAAATAATATCAATAATTTAGGTATGTTTGTTTAATTTATTATGTTTCTATCTTTTCCAATTTTACAAGATTCTGAAGAATTCAACCATAAAAACAATATAAATATAGATAGCATCCATGTAAACATAGAAATTAACTCATTGATTGCCCACCATCCTACCAAAGGAGAAAGTCCCTTTTAAATAAAATTGTTTTCCGGGTTTTTCAGAACTACATCCTTTGATTATAGAACTCTGCTTAGATTTGTTATATAGATCACAAGCTTTCTAATGCATTTATTAGTATTTAATATGACACAGAGCACCATGCATCAAACATATTGACAAGATACAAAAAAAGATATCATTATGTTGAGACACGTATGTGAAAGTTATACATATAGGAAAAGGTATGGTGCATTAAATAAATTAACACAATACGAAACGTATGTTTTGGTTGTAATAATCAGTGGAATCTGCAAAAGGTCAGTTGAGCACAATCAAATCTATTTAGAAGAGAGACTGGCTAGAAACCAAATACTGCTTAACTGATTAAATGGATCAAAGTAGGAAAAAAGACACTGATGGAAAAAAAACTCATGTTGATTTTTCATTATCCAGAGGTTTTTCTAGGGATCAGAAAACAGAAGATTTTAACTTTACACTAAAGTGTTCTATTTAATTTTAAGAAAATATTGCTGTGAACCTACAGGAAAGAGATATTTATGAAAGGAAAATAGAAAAGCAGGCCTTAGTTAAATAGTAGTTTTGTCTATCACTAAAATTGTCTGTTACAAACATCAGTTTTGCATTTCTTTATGCAAGCAAGAACCAGATTTATAATTAAAAGAGGTCACATAAAAATGGGACAGGAATTAAATTAAACATGACTAAGTAGCATTTATTTTACCACGTTCCACTACTATCAGAGTATATGTGTAAATAAAATTGTTTATTTCTTCTGTATCTAAGGGGATTTGGAAGGGTTACAATTCATTTATGGTAGCAAATGACAATTTAAATTCAGAAAATTATAAACCTCTTTGTTTATAAAATTATCAGAGCATCTGCTTTTATTGACATTTTAATGGTTATGTAATATTACTAACATTCTTTATCTTTTAATTTCTTATTTAATGACATACAGGGACATAGAGGAGGAAGGAGAGAGAGAAATAACAGTGCATTTAAGCATTTAATTTTCCTCCCTGTTTTTAAAATGTACTTTTTATGACAAACATTTGCCATATTTATCCGAAAGAAAAGAGATTATGTAATTTAGGACAATTAAAGGAAAAACCATGTCAAAAATAACTTGTCTGTTTCATTATTGTGCTCTCAATAAATCTCAAAGTGCCCTTCCATTGTAGCATATATCTTTTGGCTTTAGATACTCTTCCAAATGGAAGAACACATTCAGAAGATGTTTTCTGAGCTGGTAGATATTTAACTGGTCAAAATATTCTCCTTGTTCTCCTATACAGTTATTCCATTAGCAACAATACGGTCAGAACTAGAGAGTCAACAGAAGAAGAAAAAGATCCTTCTACTGAAGAAGTAATCTGAGCAGAACTCTACTCAGGAGATTATTCTATTGATGGGACCAAATTCTGATTTTAACCCACTGAGTTAGCAATAATTAGCAATAAACTAGCAGCCTTCATGTATAGTGAGTATATCTAACTACAAGTTAGAGCTTTCTTAGGAGTATGATTCACAGTTAAGGATTTTATTGTCTATTGAAAAACTGAGGCTTCCACACATACCTATACATAAACAAACTTGCCCTTTATTCACATGAATCAAAATCCTGTTTAGGTGGATTTCTCCACACCCTGAAGAAGAGAATGAAAGTTTAAAATAATCTAATTCTTTATTTATATCCTCCTCTTTAAAAAATATTTCAAAGTACGCATACAAACTTTATGAGAAAAGTGGAACATGCTTCTAAAATGCTGCTGTTTTATTAATGTCACATACATCATGCTTTATAATGAAAAACCTGTGTAACTATTCTGATTGCCAGAGAGGAACATTAGTTTCTCAAATTTATTCTATCTAGCATACTTCAAGCTTTCCAAACAGAATATTAAACCTGATATTCCATAAAAATAGTAAAGAAATCACACACTAACTAAACACCAGGTCCATTGTGGAGGACGATCTGGGAGAAGATTTGAGTAGTAGAAAGCCAAAGATTATACACTATGCTACCCCACTTAACAACTATGAACTAATTAATAAAATATTGCTGCCCCAAAATATTTCTATTCTGACTTCATGTTACTGATTTGTAGAATATATGCCCATTTGTTCTTTGTTTTTCTTTTATATGTTTATGTCTAACAACTGTATAGTAATAAGATACAGAGAATAAGTTTAACAGTTTCATGAGATATGGTAAATAATTGACTACATAGATAAGTTGAATTTAAATGCCTTTATCACATGTGCTTATTTGTACAACTGGCTGGTTTATATCTTCCAGAGTTGGGAGCATGGATTACATTTCCTTTAATGTCATAAACATCTTCATACAATTTCTGTGTATCTCCATTTTGAGATAAAACATTCTTTAAAAAACAGGATATCAAACTGGCACAGGAAAGAAATAAAGATGGAGTCCATTCATTTAGTATGCCAGCATATAATTAGAGGAGAACAAGTATATACTAAGATGTCATTTGATCACTGCTAGCCCCATAGTTGGTCCACTTGTCAATAGATTCTCCCAACTACTGCAATCAACAATTGTTGATCAATTACTGTGATACTACTTTATTGAAACATATACAGAGACCATTAAATGTATGATAGGTATACTGTAACCTCCTATGAAAGTTGAAGTCTGTTTTTTATTTATCATTATGCAGTCCTTTGGTTGTCCTCCTCTCTTTGAAATATATTTCTGGTCTATAGCTATCTGAAGGATAGATGGATGGATGGAGATAGACTGATAGATGATAGAACATGGATTGATGGATAGATAGACAGACAAATTTCCCATTTTAAAAGCAGATATTCTGAAAGATAATGCTTCACTAAGTTACCTGTCAAAAATATAGATTTTAATATACATAGAGGAACTCTCTCACTTGATAAAAATTTATTAGCCTACAGAAAACCTTCAGCTGAAGAAAGTTCAATATTACTTCTTCAGTGAAACTGTAATAAAAAATTAATTGGGAGTGCGTTTCTTGCAGCAACAGCATTCAGAATGCAGATTTATTTATAATTCTTTTGATGGTCTCATGGGCATTTGAAATACACTTACCAATCAACGAACAACTTTACAGATAAGATCTACATTAAAAATACTATTTTTCCCAATGACACAATATCAAATTTTCACTCTTTCTTAAATCGATTCTATCCCAATCTGTGGTATCTCTAATAGTTTTTCAAGGAACATCCTCTTTGTCACTCAATATATAACATTCTGACAGCTATCTGTAGTTGCTATAATGGCTACATTTATATGCATTATAATTTGCAAATTTTTCTAAAATTCTGCCAAAATATTCAACAACTAATTAATATTTAAGGCTTTAACATTTGTTCCTACATTTTTACAGAGAATTTGGAAAAGGGGTCATGCTATCTTTGAAACAAAATAGATATAAATTTGATTTAGAGCACTGTGGTAAAAGGGGATCTGTCGTGTTTGTGGGAATTCTAACTTTTGACAGCATGGTAACCTCCAATTTTTTTTTATAACTGCAGTTCTCAGAATTCCAGGCCAAAAAGATTTGAGGGAATTGTGCTGAAGAACATCGCTTAAGCCCGTACATATAGAACAACTTTTTTATTTGAAATATAATTAAGAACATTTACTTCACACAGTAAATAATTGTATATTAAATATAATTATATGGCCCCTAATATTTTAGCTGTGTGATGCTGTGTACTGTAGACCAGGGGTCCCCAACCCCCAGTCCGTGGACCGGTACCAGTCCGCAGCAGGCCAGAAACCGGACTGCGCAAACAAACAAAGCCCCAGCCACAGGATGCAGGCAACACATGAAACCACGCCCCTCCAGTCTGTGGAAAAACCTCTCTCTACGGAACCAGTCCCTGATGCCCAAAAGGCTGATGGCCGCTGCTGTAGACTGAACTACAGTACATAGACTGATCATCTGAACTGGCATTAATCAACAAGAATAACATTTGTAGATTTGTTCCCAAAATTGACAATCTAGCTATAACAATATTCTATCTTCAATCTCTACATATAATAAACAATTCAGAAGACCATCTGTCTCACCTCTTTGGGAATAATTTCAGGTCTATGTATTTTTTATCTGTGATTGCCTTCTTTAGCAATTAAAAAATACTGGAGGAGGAGGTTCCCATTTATTCTTCAACATTACAGTACAATCTGGAGTTTATAAAACATAACCCCACGTGTGGCTACTTACTTACCTGATTGCTTGTATTGATGTCTATTCCTCCTTTTAGATATTCCACTACTTTGTCCAGATTGCCAGCTCTGGCAGCTCGAAGGAAGCTTGCATTGCTGTCCGACTGTGAAAAGCAAAGCAGAATAATTATATTACTGAATGTTCTGAACATAAGGAACAGAAATACATTACTATAGGAAAGTTTTTTGTTATGCTACTGATGTTTTACCCAATTCTTATTGATTCAGTTAACCCTCTGGAAAAATTACATGAACTTTTTTTTATTTATAATATTTGCAAGTGGCTTTTTTAAAACATGCAGCACCACTATGTTGCTAAAGGAAGCATCAATAATCTCCCAGATCTAATCATTCTTGCCCCATTTAGCTGCCTGACAATGTGAGGGGCATGGATCCAATGCACAAGTTAGGACTATAGAGGACCCTATTGACTTCCTCAAGTTTCACAAGTAGAAAGTAACATAGATCACATCACAAATGTTTTTAGTTGTAAAGTAGCCAACATGTTTATGCTGCATGCCTGGAACTGTTTCATCTTATCTTTCCCTAGAAATAGCTGTAAATGCAAAGAAGAATTGTTGTTTCACCAGCTTTACCACCACTGTGTAGGTTTGAACATAAACTCACATTAGTGTTCAGTCACATTGTGATTGGTTTTTACCACTATTGCTATAGGCATCTTTTTCAGTCTTTTCATTTTCTTGAGTTCTTTGTAATCAAGGAAATCCTTAAAGTTGAAAACTGTGCAAAGATCTTGCAGAAGCAATCTTATCTAGCACTCTAGCCAACTCCACATTCTGCAGACCAACAGGGCATTAGGGAATTGCTTGTCAACCTTAATTATGAATTGTTTAATTCTTGCTTCACTTTCTTTATACCACAACTAAACCCAAAATCAAGCCACAAAATGCATAATATATATGTAGCCACACAGGAAGACTATCATTAAAACTATTGCCAGTAAATAAAGAGAAGACTTGATAAATAAGAAATTACTTGTTTTAATTATACAAGAGCAATAGAAATTTGAGGAATATTCTATTATAGACTTGCAAATGTATTAGCTATTTGGGATTCCTTCAAAAGATACTCATATAGCTGTATTATTACTTATGCTTCATGTGAAAAATGAAAAATTAAGTAAAATTAGGGGGGAAAACTTAAGGATGTCTTGAGCATATATATAAGACCAACACTATTATTATTTATTTCTACAGTAAAATATAAACCAATGTAATTATTTCGTAAATATCTAGCATATAGAATTGGAATATTTATACTAATAATGAATTCCTAATGGTTTAAAAGATTATTAACTATGTGCATTAAAATACAAGGGAAGATTAATTCAACAAAAATATTGTTTGTAATGCTCTCTGGACATTCCGTTTTTTTTTTAAAACTAATCTTTAATTTAATTAGGTCATAACAATAAAGGAATTTTGCTCATATGGTATTTTATTATGTGGTCTATTGCTCCATTTTGATTTGAGACCCATAAGTTTGCTAATACGCTATAAAGAGCAATACGCTATAAAGAGCAAGGTGAAAAGTGTAAAAGAATTTTTAGAATCACAGACCAAAAGTATTATGTAAAGAATTATGGAAATGTTAACAGTGGGGGAGGGGGGTTGGGGATGAGGGATGGGCAGCAAAAGATCAGTATTCAAAGTGGTAAAGTTAGAACTATTCCATATGTATAACTTTGGATTACAGATATATGCTCATTTTTGTTTATGATCAGGTTTTTTAGCAACAAAATGGAAAAAGTTATATTATTTTATATAGGCAAGCTTAAATCATTAATTAAAAAACTAGTTTTGATATGTTTCATACATATCTTCTTTTTTGTATGATAAAAAAACAAAATTAAAAAAAATTGTATCTTTATCTATCAAGTATCCGGGAAGGAAGAGAAAAAGTTAACATCATACACATCTACTTCCTTAATTTTTTTTACAATTTCTGTGTAATTTAACATCATTTCCTTCATTTTTTTTATCAAATATAAATTCCTCAGCCTTTAGTATTGTAGTTTTTAGATTCATACTTTTTGATGACACAGAAAATCTGACATTAGTTATGAATCAATTGAGTTCTTGGCCAACACACAGTATAATTGTCATATGTACATGTGATTTCAATATCAGCAAAGGCATTAAACAATCAAGAATAATCACACAGCCCAGTTTTATTCCCTGATCATCACTGAACCATTCACTTAGCATTTCAATTATTTTCATACATATTTCCTTTAATCACATACAGCTCTTATCACATTCAGCATTCATGCTATGCGAACGTTCCATAATTCAAAAATATTCACTTTATCATAAAGTATACTTCCCAAATTTTACACACTGTTATCTTTCCCACACTTTGAATTAGAATTCTGATAAACACTTTTCCAGGTATATTTTACTTCCTAGGTCTTATTTTACCAAGATTTTCTAAGAGATGCCAGAAAAGACACATAAAATGCTATTGGAGGAAGACTCAAAATGAAGCTGACAGAACACCAGTAAGAGCCCTACCAGAGATTACCTCATGATGATTAAGGTAGAAAAATGCTAATATTTATCTACCCTAATAGTTGTTTAGTGGCCAAAAGAGGTCACAGGATCTTCTTCAGGGCTACTAAGAAGGTTATTCTGGCTAAATAGTGAATAAAGTCATTCAATCCCATGCCAGGTTAGATTCTGATTGGTATGTCTGGCTAAACTGACTAGGCCTTGCTCTTTGGTTGTGATCTGGAATAGGTTCTAGTCTCTTGAGGAATTTTCTGCACTGTTAGTTTGCCCCCCCCCCTCTTGTTTGTTTGAACCAGGTTCCTTTAAAGTGGCCAAAGACATGCCTTGTAGTTGGGTTCATGTTGTGGTGATGTCCTTATCCCTAAAAAGGGAAGGTTATTAAAAAGATAGTTAGATTGCTGTTGTAAAAAACCCTGGAGGAAGCAGATTATCAAAACACATTTTAATTGGGTTTCAGGCCAGGAGCCTTGGTCACATTTGTAGACGACCTATGGCAGAGCCAAAAGACATATCCTTGTGCTCCTTTTTGTGGTTCGGCTTTAAGGATTGGGATTTGGTTGCACCAATTTATGATCATTTGTCTCCTTCCTTATATTGCAATAAGTTTTGGAACCTCCTTTATGAGGTGCTATAGAGTTCACATTCTCCCCTCTTGTTCAACATATAGATGAAAGTGCTGGGTAAAATAACATTCATTTCTGGATTGGGAGGCCCTTCACTCACTCACTCATGTCCTAGTCACCTTACAGCTTGATTTTGCAATGCATTCTAAATGGAGCTTCTTGAAACCACTTGAAATCTTCATCTAGTCCAGAATGCAGTGGCATGGGCAGTGATAGGCATGCTTCAGTATATCCATATGACAGCTCTGTTTCTTGAGCTGCACTGATTACCAGTATGCTTCTAGATGCAGTTCAAGGTGCTGGTTATTACCTATAAATTTCTTTATGACGTAAGTCCTCTTTATTTGACAGAATATTTATCTCCCATGGTATCTGCTCAGTATGAGTGACAGGGTTGGCATGCTCCAGGTCCCTTTGATTAAACAGTATCATATATGAGGACAGAAAGCACACTTTTCTCTTGTGGCACCTGCTGGGATCCATGAGGCTCCCCACCCTAATGGCATTCTGTAAAAACCCATGTGTTCTATGTCTCAGATTAGAGTGGCCCCTATTGGATATATTTGCAGGTGTTTGTATTGTTGGCCAAATTTGCCATCTTTATTTTTTTTAATCATTTTATTTATATTGTATCTTCTAGCTTGTTTAGTTTTACTTTAAGTTGTCCAGTATCAATCTGGAGTTGGTCATTGCCTAAATTGAATAAATTAAGCTTTCAACATTCTAATAAAATTAATGATTTTATTTCATTTTTATTTTCATGGACACTAACATTTGTATCATTTGTTTTAATTCTGTTCTTTGACAAAATAGTATATTCTCCATACAAAACTCATACATTATCACTAGCAATTTTCATTCAGTTTTATCCCATATTATTTCTTCACTTTTGTATTTCATTCTATTCACTTCTTGTTTAGCACATGTCCCCTACTTACGGAATAAATTGTTAACTTAACATTTAAAAAAACCTAACCAAATACTACTGAAAGATTGTCAAGACATTGAGTGCTAATAATAGTGTATTGCCTCCATTCTAGGTATATATTACAGCTAATAACAACATGTCTACTTCTCTTAGTAGCAACATCTAAAACTGAAAAGTGGGGCAAATAAACATAGCAAGAAAGGCCACAGTAATAATAATAATAATAATAATAATAGTAGTAGTAGTAGTAGTAGTAGTAATAATAATAATATAATAATAGTAATAGTAATAGTAATAGTAATAGTAATAGTAATAGTAATAGTAATAATAATAATAATAATAATAATAATAATAATAATAATAATAATAATAATAATAATAATAAAGTTGGAAGGGACCTTGGAGGTCATCTAGTCCAACACCCTGGTCAGGCAGGAAACCCTATACCAGTGGTGGCGAACCTATGGCACGCATGCCAGAGGCGGCACTCAGAGCCCTCTCTCTGGGCACGAGGGCCGTTGCCCCAGCCCCACATCCCCCTCCTCACCAGCAGCCCCCCTGGAGGAAAGTCGCCCCCAGGTGCGGCCCACGCGGAACAGCACAGCCAAGGACATGGCAGCCGGGCAGCGGGGACAAGGCTCCGCTCTCGTGCTCCGTCATGTGCAGATGATGCTGTGGGGTGTGGGCAGAGGGCGTGGCCACCATGGTGCTGCTGGGCCACCTGGGCGATCTGCGGCAGGCCATGGAAGCAGTGGGTGGCCCGCAGGGCAGGGACGGTATGGGGGCAGAGGGGTTGGGCACTCGGTCTCTAAAAGGTTTGCCATCACTGCCTATACCATTTCGGACAAATGGCTGTCCAGTGTCTTCTTAAAAACTTCCAGTGTTGGCGCATTCACTACTTCTGGAGGCAGGTTGTTCCACTGGTTAATTGTTCTAACTGTCAGGAAGTTTCTCCTTAGTTCTAGGTTGCTTCTCTCCTTGATTAGTTTCCATCCGTCTTTCTTTCTATTTCCTGAGTTCTCATCGGGTCTACAGAAGGCAGGATTAATCAGTGAAGAATCCATATACATACATATACTTTGACTCCTTTTGAAGAACTTTTGTTAGATAACACAGAAAACAAAGGAGGCAGAGGCCGAAAGGCAAAGAAAGACAGAAACAGACAGAGAGACAGAGATAGAGATAGAGAGTTGGCTTTAAGTTATCTAACAACCAAAATAAGCTGTTATTTATTCCTTTTGATAATGGCTATTAATATTTTCATTTCTATACTTTCTTTTTAATATATTAAATATATTAGAATATTTCTAATATTCCATATATTTCTAATACTGATAATCTAATAATGTATTTTTGTGCAACATTCCATCTGAACAGCTTATGTTAGCTTCCTTTCTTGTGGCATTAATTCACCAATGAGGTCTGTAGTTGGACAGGAAAGCTGTCCTTAATCTACCTTAACATGTTTATCTCTCGGTGTGTGCCTGGCATTGAGGTCAGGCAGCCCTGAAGGATCTTTGGAATGTCTTAGGGTGCCCTTTGGATTTGGCAGTGGATATTCAGCCTTGCATCTAACTCAAATTAGTTTTCAGTCTGTATGTTCAAGGATGCATATTACATTACCAAATAGTCAGTTCACTTGTAGCCAGAATGCATAACATGATAATAAAAAATACTTAAGTCAATCATATTCTGAATCAAGACTATGAATTACTTTCAGTCAAAAGATACCATAAGGTAATACTTTGGACTTATTGTTGTCACTTAATAAACTGCAAATGCTAATTAGGTTTTATTTTTTAAAAGTGATGCTAATTTTCTTATCTACAGAGTCACATTATTTAAAATCACCAAGAAATAACATATTTAATATTTTAAAAAAATGTTGTTCAAATTATATTAATTTTCAAGCCAAAGGTACTTTATATAATATTTTTTTCTTGATAAAAAGTATAATAATGACTTTCAACAAGACCTTAGCTTACTTTTACTAGTCTTTTAAAATACAGTGATTTTATGTTTCAATCAATGCTGCCAAATCCCTTTAAATTGGATGACATTTTTGCAACTAATAAATAGTATCAGAGTAAATACAGTAAAATTGCAGTGGAAAAACAAAAGAAAGGCCTACTTTAGGGTACTCCTGGCTACCATGAAATGTTTGTACTGCAAAAGTTATGGCATCCACTGAAATTGTGCTTTCCGGTTGACTTGTGTTGAAAGACCAAACCTGAAGGGACCACGGATGTAAAGCCAAGTTGGCTGGGCAGCTTTCAGCTGTCAGCTGAGTAGCTGTTCAGAATTCAAAAAATGTGGTGGGGATTGCATTTGGCAGGAAACTGGAGGAAGGGATAGAAATAAACATGAAGTGATCAGAAAACCAAGAAACTACTTTTTAATTATTAGGTATTCTCTGCAGCATTGGAAAAATGAAAGTGAGATTATAAAGACATATTTCAGTAGAAGAACATCAAGATTTTAATCAAATTGAATATGGATGTACAGTACCTAATTATTGCTACAGTTTAATATTTACCTACTGTAACAATATGTGACTAAGATAAATAACTATGTCCATATATCATAGCAACTGCAAGGATATGTTATAGAGGAGTGTGACTGTAACTTTAACAATTTATAATAAAGTTGTTTAAAAAGACAAGGCAATGGGGGGAGGACTGAAGCAGATTTTTTTCACTGTTAATTCATATTTTTCTGCTGAATTTCAGAGTCAATGTGATTTCAAGATCTTTTCCAGTAAAACTACAATTAATGCTTTTTTAAAAAACAACAACAGTGATTGTAAAACTAAACACTGACCTTCCTAATATATAAAGATTTAGCAAAACGTTATGATTCCATACATCTAAAATATGATACTGCAGAAGTATCTGTTGTTTCATAGAGTGGGAATAAGTCCAGTGTGTATAAGTGTTAAAGCAGCAGAATTTAGGTAAATATTAAAATAAACTTCCTAAGAGTTCGCTTTGTTCTATTCCACATCAGAATTAAATGGTAAAGAAAGTATTATACAAAAACTAATTATGTCATTTGGATACTTTCTTGACAAGAAGTGATTTATACAAATCAAACATAAATAAGCTATTCAAGTTAACTGAATTTGCATTGTTTCATGTCAAATTTACAACGGATGTTCTTGAAAACAGAAAGATACTATATATATTAGAATGGCTATTCTATGTGTTTATAAAGTAGAAACTGACTGTCAATAATGAGGCTTTATGCCTGTAAACATAGGAGGAAGTTCCTGAGGAACTGGTCCAAAGGTTCTTTGATGTTTATTCATTTTAAATCAACTATTTCCATCTGCATTTAAACTAAAGGATTAGAATAATCCTATGATTTCATAACTTGATTCTAAATAATAAACTGGCCTCTAATGGAACAAGGATCAATCCATGCAAGGAAAATTGTTTTTGTTCAACCATCTTTCTCATACACAAAACATTTGAGATATTGAAGCAGCTTCTGCATTTAAATACTATATGCACTTCCTATGTAGAAACTGAAAAAAGTCCAACCATTTATATATGCAACTGCATAGGCAAGCATCTTCAGTTCATCTTGTATTTTTCATCAATAACATCTTTGTTTCTGCAGCACAGTAGCATACTGTATATGAAAAAGCATTAAATCCCATTTCCACAACTGAAGGTGTTACTGAGTTGTTAACAAAATGTCTGCAAACAACCAAGTTCAGAGAGCAAATGCACAAAAGCACTTGAGGAGTTATACTATATGGCAAGCTGACACATTTATATACTATGTAATTCTTCACTTCCAAAAGACATTGTATTAGCTTATGTTAATTATATTTATTTACATAAACTTATTTACATAAACTTATATGCCGCCCTTCTCCCTATAGGACCCCTATAGGACCCCTTCTCCCTATAGGACTCCCTATATGTCCCCTAAATATAATATAGTTGAATTAATCTCTGAATTACACCAGGCCCTATGATTTTGTAAGGTTGGGTATAGTATAGATATTCCAGATTTAATGCTATCAAAACAATAATACAAAAATAACAGTATAACCTGCTTTGTTTAAAATAAAAGAAATCTAATACTCAAGAGTGCATATCTATTAATTAGTAATTACAGTTTACATTCGCTCACTTTTGTGAAATTATTAGGAATTATAAAATCATGCATATTTTTTAAAATATTGATACTCTCAGACATCATAAGAAATTTCTGATTGATACAGTGAACCATGCTTCATGTCAACCTTTGGATTAAAGAAAGCTCAAAGCTCATCTGTTACAGATGGTGTTTGGATTTTTTTAAAACTAATCTATAAAAATCATGTGTTTTGTTTTCTCTGTCTTCACATGTCCACAAAAATCCTCCATATAAATAGTTGAGCTATTTTTATTACGATAAAATTGAATATTAAAATCCCTTAGGAAATTAAGATTTACTAATTGAGATAAATTATACTTGAGAACCAACATATGCAAAGAAACAAGCAGGAGAGAAACAATAGTGAATTTTGAACAATGAAGATGCAAACATACCATGTGAAGATGTAATGCAAAGTTTCTAACTGCAGATAAAAATATTCCAATTAAATTCTAGTTCAGTTTAAAAATAAACATGATTATTATAACATGCTGCAAAGCTATTCATTCTCAGAGTAGATTCATATTCATGTTTCTCTCTGTTAGAGATACAAAGATTGTAGCCCCAAGCAAGCTGTTTTACATTAAATCTAACTTAATTTACTGAGACCTAATTCCAAGCAAAATCTATAACATTATCTGTTAACTGTATAGAACAAAGTCATCAGTCTGTCTTGCTCCTAGTAACTATAAACATGATAATGTTGACTTATAAAAGCAAAGTTTGCTTTAGTTTTCTAAAACAAGAAAATGTATTTATATCATACTGTATTCTGTCAAAAGCAATTGTTGTTTTTAGATTCCCAACTGTGCTAGTCCTTTTTTAAAAAAGTGTAAAATGCCATCTTACATTTCAACTACACTTTATCAGGAGGGCTCTAGTATCTACGATGTTTATACACTTAGATTTTATATACACACCAAAACATTCTGTGAGCTACTTTACTCAATCCCAGATTGCCTAACCAACAGCATCTTAAGACACAATCATCCTGTATTTCAGCAGCTATTAACTGATTCCAAATGGTAACACTAACTCAGTATTTCCACATTATCTTTTTATAACAAGTTCCTTGTTCTCTCGGCTGTATTCTCTTTAGACTTACCAACCCCTCAGGATCTTTATTCACTCCATTACTGCATCCGTAATAGTCAGGAATTTTATCTGCATCTTGCACATTCCCTTGCACTCTTACACCCTTGCCTGTGCCGCAAGCTTGGCAAATGGGTGCATTGCCCATATCCTTCTGTTAATTCCTGTAGTGGGTTTGAGCTCGCAGAGTATGGAATATTCCGAAAGGGCAGATGAGTTTTGAAAATCGAGAATGATAGTTGTAACTTATATTATTTGCTCTCCTGAGTTTTCTTTGGCAAAGGTTTCTCTCTACTGGCCTAGGTTAAAAAGAAACTTTAACAACTATAGCCAGCATTCAGTGACCATTTCCAATTCAGGCTCTGACTGTCTATTTTTACACCTACTGGCCCAACTATGCATGTAAATTGAATGGGGAGGGAGGCAGCCTGACTAGCTTTGAGTTAAGGCCCTACTGTGTGAAATGCCTTCACATACAGAGGTTATTGAATTACCCAGCTGCATGCCTTTGAATGTTTTGATTTTTTTTCTCTCCCTACTACATTATACATTAATGCTTGCTTACAGCATTACATTAATGTTGCTCATTTCTAAGAGGGGGGGCTGAAAGCCTTTTACTGTAAAATGATAACTATTAGGAATTTATCATATCAACAATACCAAACTATATGGAGACACTTCAAAAATGACATTTCATGCAATTATAGCATATTCCTTCATGCTGTGTTTTTTTCCTTCATTGCATTTATGAGTCATGCTGTCCAGAATTCTTTTTCACAACTTGCAAGACTATGGCATTTGAGTAGTTTCTATAAATTAAACTACACAATAACTCAAAAATAAAACATGAAACTACCTATCTGATTTATGGTGATATAAATGTGTTTTGGGAACAGTCTTAATCATAACTACCATATGAAGGTGAGGGATGTGAAATTTTATCTAGTCAACTATTTTCTTCCATCTCCCCCCTTTAAAAAAAACCCACTGAATCTACTGAATAAAACCAATAAGAAATCTATCTTCACCCAAATTTGAAACATCTCTAGAAGAATACCTTGAAGGATGTCATCGAGATCTGCTGAAAGTTTAAGAAGAGTTTGCAGGGATGTGATCTCCCCCATCCCATGCAACCCCATCCTGATAAGGGATCCTATAGATGGGCAAGGCAGTTTAAAAACTTTTACTAAGCTTAAGGAGTCAGCAAGCCATGTTTTAACAAGTACAACACATTTGAATATTTGTCTGGAACATCAAGCAAAAGGATATATTTTCATATCCTTAAGAAAACTGGGGCTATTTCCTCTTTTAGGCCAGAACTTTGCCTTCAATTTTCAAGGAAACATGACACAGAATGCCATCAAAACATCTCAGAAAGAACAATGCTGTCTAATAATTTTATTGCATGCATTAAAAGTAAACTGAAATCTTGTTAGATATATATTTATTGATACAGAAATACATACTTAATCTCCAGTTAGAATCAAATGCAAATGGGGCAAATATAACAGTCTCATAAATAAATATACAGTTTATTTAGGAGCTATTTAGCATATAATCTCAGCATAATGAATATAATTAGAATTTGACTATGGTTTTAAGTTTTGATAACATTTTTGAAAGCATGCTGATTTTATACAAAATAATTCCCATTCTGTGGTGGCGAACCTATGGCATGCGTGCCACAGGCGACATGTGGAGCCGTCTCTGGTGGCACGCGAGCCATTGCTGGGCCGAGCTGCTCCCTCTTCCTCTCCGCGCATGCGCAGTCTGGGAATAGGCGAGAGGCTATAAAAGGAGCAACTTTCTGCAGAAGCAGCATTTGCTGCAGACAGCGAGAGAGTGAGCACAAGTCGGAGCGGACAGCGAGCAAGTGAGCGAGCCGACAGCTTGGTGGCCATGCCCACCCGGCACCCGGCGATGCATAAGTGGGTTTTGGGTTGCAGTTTGGGCACTCGGTCTCTAAAAGGTTCGCCACCACTGCTCTAGATACTTACAATAACAATTGCATCATTTTTACATTGCCCAAACAAACTGAAAAGAAAACTAAATGTCATTTTAAAAAACTTATTACAAAGACAAACCATGACAATTAGCAACTGAAGTTGTTGAGGCAAAAACTTTTGAAAGTCTATTGAACCCAGAGTCCACAAACTGCAAGGAGTCATCAAATCTACCTCCAGACTGTCATCACCTTTGTTTCACATAATGCAGTAACACACGGCATTCCTTTTTGGAAAGAATGTACAGAACCTTATAGGAAGAGATGGATTGGTAGGTGGAACTATGGAGAGCTAAGATCAGCACTTAGAATTGCACCAACTAATTCAATGACCAAAGCAATAGATATATTGAATGAAGGCGAAGACATATGTCCCAGAATAATGTTGCAGGATCCAATATGGGTCAGTCACCAGGACCGAGGCTTAGTTTTCCAAGCTTCTGGACTCATGCTGGTGCCCATTCTCAGGGAAAACCTCCGGCACAAGGCCAAAAGCTTGGAAGACTAAACCTCTGATCCCGATGATTGACCCACATTGGATCCTGCAGAATTATTTGTGATCATTCATACTTGGGATACAGTATCTGGCTCCTACACCCAAGGCATGGAGCCTGAAACCCCCTTCATTACTTTCTCTATTACATTACAATGTCTGTTACACACATTGTACCTCTCAGTGTCTCCTAGTCAAAAAAACCAAACAAAGTTTGCCCTAAGTGTTTGATGAGGAAACAAGTGTCTGAACAGAGAGAGAAAAAGGAAAACCATGTTTTACACAGGCAATCGCCTAGGCAATTTATGGTATTAGAAGAATGCTGCTTTTTTTTTTAAAGAAAGCAAATATACAAGATTTTGCAATATATACCAGTGATGGCGAACCTTTTAGAGACCGAGTGCCCAAACTGCAAACCAAAACCCACTTATGCATCGTCGAGTGCCGAGTGGGTGTGGCCCATTGGGTGGGTGTGGCCCCATTAGGTGGGCATGACTGCAGTGGTAATGGCAGACTGGGTGGGACTAAAAAGTTCAATAAATCAATTCCAACTTTGCAAGATCTTTTTTTTCCCGGCGAGAAGTTGAATTTGACTGATTGATTGAAACTTTTTTTTTTTTTTTGCACACGGTGGCGGAGGCCTAAAGTGAAAAGGTTTTATAAAACCCAGCTGAAGGCCTAGGACTGGGGCGACGGCGTGCATGCCCACAGAGAGGGCTCTAAGTGCCGCCTCTGGCACCCGTGTCATAGGTTCGCCACCACTGATATATACTGTAAATATTTAGATATAAATAAATATTCTTATAAACCAGGTAAAAATAGAAAAATAGTATGTTTAGTAGTATCTGTAATATTTAGATTATTTGCACCCATATAGATATCCAAAACAAAGGGATACATATTTTTCCAAGTTCGGTGTTGTAAAATGTTTCAAAGCTATCAAAGCAACTAATTCCATTTTTGGCCTGATTAAGGGAGTAAACAGCATTCCAACCTTCAGTATAATTAAGGACCAAGTTTCAAAGTCTTTATAGAAGGGTGGACATTTCCCAAGATCATGTTATTAATACAGCTGTTGTGGATCTGTTATATTATATCCAGTGGCAGCTAAGGAATAAGAACAGGCCAATTGTTATAGTAATCTATGTTATATATCAATCCATTATACAATGAAAGCACAAACAATGCGAAACAGTCAGAAGTTTTTTTACTTTTGAAGTTTCTTGCACTTTTTTCAAAATACCCTAAGGGCCATTCAAAGTGCAGGATATCTTAAATCTAACTGGTTTGTTGTACCATGAATGATTTGGTCCTAGAACTTGTAACACTGTACCCTTTGGGGAACTAATATATTCTTAATTCCAGTTCTACATTAGATTTTAAAAACTAACATTTGTTAGGATTCTAAAAACACCATTAGAAGATGCTTTATGCTTTACCATTGCTCATTTCCATTTGAAAGTTTATTGAATTTGTACATCCTATTTCACAAATAATAGTACTCAGAATAGCTAACACAAAGCTTGAGGGTATTCCATATGTTGTTTCAATTATACATAACTATATCTACTCAAACTTTCAAAAAAGTATTCTACAGTTAGTCCTTGACTTATGACTGGTCACTTGGCAACTTTTCCAAGTTATAACAGACCCAAAAAAGGTACATATTTGAAGTTTTGATAACTTGCCCCCTCCATGGTCACATGATTGCATTTTGGACTCTTGGCAACCAGCCTGCATTTATAGCTGTTTGCAGCATCCCACAGTCAGGTGATCACAATTTACAACATTTTTGCTAGAAATGTGATGAGCCACTTAATGACCAGCATGATTTATGACTGAATTTTCAGACTTAATTATGGTTCTAACTATAGGACTATCTGTATACATTTCTGTTCTTTTACATATCATCCAAGTCATTTTCTACTGAAAGTAGGGTCACTGGATGTCTAATGCATTAACTACTGGCATTGAATATGAGCTGGCCAGTCAACCAGTTTTGGGGAATAGAAGAATGGCCTATTTCTGGCAAAAAATAAGAATATGTACTACAAATTAACAGAATGTATTCTGACTGCAGGGATTCATTCATAGGCTGAAATCTTCTTTACTAGAATGGTCTTCTCTTTAGTAAACTTTGAGGTACCTTATCACTTCATAATATTTATCATGTTTGAAAGCTGGTATTTGTTTGCCTTTGGTTTTTCTAATCTGGATGTGTTTCTATTCTTATTGATCTCACGCAACACTAAGTAAAGACAAAAGACGTAAAGACAAACCCTCAAAGAGCACTTTATTAACAGTAGATGCAGAACACCTCTTGAGACCTGATGGATCGGACAGCTATATACCAATTATAGCACATAAAATCATTAAAAAGACCTAAAAAGATTTATATTTTTCTTAAATACAATTTTTTTCTATTTGTGGCATTTGGTTAACTGTTTACATCAATATATTGTTTAAAACAATAGAGATGTCGTTGCTACCAGAGCACTATTAATTATTGTTAACAGAAGTGACCAAATGTATTAGCATTTCACTAATACTGCTAAATATATCCAAGAGAATCTATATAAAGCAGTACCAAGGATGTAACAGCACTATTTTTGCATTTATAGAATGGATGACAAATATTCAAAGTGGTTTGCCTACATGATATAGCAATTCTAACTTTGTAAGATAGCAATGCTAACCTTT